GCAATGAAATGTTTCTCTCTAGTTGACAGACAACTGATGTATGATTAAGCCTCTCTCTCTCTCTCTCTCTCTCTCTCTCTCTCTCTCTCTCTCCTACACAAAGTATTTATTTAACTAGCTGGGCAATATGCAGTATTACTGATTCGTAGTACGAACATCTCACTAACTGATTTCCACAACAGTTGAACCAATTAGCTTGTGTAAAAAGTGAATGTGTTATCATGTTTAATTCATTACTTAATTTGAGAAAATGATTGGATTTTAACTCATATGATTATTAGAAGAAAATTGAACAGGATTTAAAAGATTTTTTATTATGCTCCCGAGGGTATATAGTTTTTGTCCTGTCTCTCTGTTCGTCTGTTATCAACTTTAACCTAGCCCATAACTATTGAGTGGGTGGCGATATGACTTTCATATTTCACAGGTGTGTTCCTTGTGAAAAGTCCTTTCCATGGGTACCCCCAAATTTGACCTCTTGACCTTGGATTTTGACCTACTTTTACAAAAAATACTACACTTTAACCTCGCCAAAGAACAGTTGGAGCTATAGCTTTCAGCCTTCACATGTGCATTCATTGTGACAAGACTTTTCAGCTGGTATTAATATTTCTGACCTTTTGACCTTGACCTTAGAGTTTGACCCACTTTTTAAAAAATTTAAACCTGGTCATAATTTTTGAACAGTTATGAATAGGGCTTTCATATTTCGCAGGTGTATTCCTTGTAACATGACCTTTCCTTGGATATCAACACTTTTGACCTTGACCTTTTGAGTTTGACATTTGAGAAAATCAACCCTCGTCATAAGCTGCCATACGGGGGCATCAGTGTTTCACGTACAAATCTTGTTTTTTTTTCCCATTTTTTAAATTTTTATTTTATTTTGAAAAAAGTTTTTACCAATAAGTTTATTTTCTATGTAATATTTCGCAAAACAAGAGTAAAAGAAAGTGCCAAAAGAAATTGATATATACTATTATTTATATTTTTCTGTCTATCGACAAACATGTACGTGTAATTCAAGATGGCAACATGATAGTCTATTCAAAAGTGGTATATATTGTATGTAGGTATTATTGATTTGAATAGCGAGTTAACATAGTATTTTAAATCATGAAAACGTATCATTGAAATTACAAGCAACTTTTTGGGTATATCGACTTTTCCCAATACATAAAATGTTACCTTTTATATAAAAATATATAACTTTTTATTACACTATTAAGTGTCAATATATTGGATATTATTAGTATGAAGAAAAGATATTATGTTCCAAAATTTAAATATTATTGCTTATGATATACTAATGTCTTTAAAACAAAGATTTTTTTATATTCATACATATTTCATGTTTGGCCAAGTCATATAGCATTTATCACATCAAAATAATAATTAATAGATTCACTCACAATTGGATATACATTGCTGGAACGTCTCATTAAACATACACTGCCATATGAGGAATTATAGGAAAAAAAACCCGTCCGACAGACTTTAGCTTTTTCTTCTCCCTCATTTCTTGTTTATTAAGTAACATCCCGCTATCACCTGAAGATGATGTTACATCGCCCAACGTATTCGATACTCATGAGTATGCTCCGAGTAAATTCAATTTTTATACTTAGACAGGCTACTTACAGATAAATCGACGTTACAAGGATTTCAACAACTTTGTTTAATGTCAACCCTTTGTAATTTCCGTGTTTTGTTGCCCGTGTTAACAATAACAACTTATCATTTGGGTCTTATTTTGGCCAATTTATTTCTTTCCAATTGCTTTGTCTTTTTTAAATTGGGAACTTCACTAAGGAATTGTCACAATACATGTTTTATTCATGTACGTAGAACTCGCAGCGGATATGACTGTCAACAGGGTTTGTTTGCTTGTTATCGGCACATGACCTTACTTTTACTTATGCCTGCTACCTCTTTTGGGGCATAGGCCGCTGACAAGATTCCTCCAGGTCACTCTTTCCTGAACAATGCTTTTTACCTCCTTCCAGTTTCCCCCCATACTTCTGATGTCTGCTTCCAGATCTCTTCGCCAGGTGTTCTTTGGCCTCCCTCTCCTACGTTTTCCTTGGGGGACCCAGGATAGGGCTTGCCTTGTGATGTTATTGTGTGGCTTGCGTAGAGTATGCCCTTCCCACCTCCACCTTCTCTACATTACTTCTGATTCTATAGGGGCTTGGTTTGTTGTTTGCCACAAATTGGTGTTGCTTATTTTGTCGGCACAATCACTGAGGTCTTTTTTGGAAGCTTGATGAGGTATCCTTCTTTCAATTCTTCTGGGATTGTTTCTGCCTCCCTTATTTTCAGAAAAGTGGGTGGAGTATGTTGGCTATTGTCAAAATCAGCTGTAAGTTCCTCGGCCAGATTATTATGCTGACTTGCCATTCCTCATCTGTTTTCAGGGCTTTTTTTATTTCCTCCTTAGTATGTGGCCCCCAGTCTATGTCTAGGTCTTCGTCTGCTGGTGAAATGTTGGGAAAGTTAGGTGGAACTGACCTATTCAGCAATTCTTCAAAGTGTTCTTTCCCTCTCCTTCTTTGTTATTCTTCCCTTTCTAGTTGTTTCCTTGGCTTTTCTTGTTTACTCCGCTGCCCAGCTACCGGTAGGTTCTTTGTGAAGTCATACAGGTCTTTCATGTTTCCTGCTTTTGCAGCTTGTTCGTCTTCTGTTGCTAGCTCCTCGGTGTCCATGCACCTTCTTTTATCAGCTTTAATACTTTGTTTTGTTAACATGACCAAACTTTTGAATTACAGGGTTTCGTTTACTATGCCCTCTTTATTATATTGTTTACAGATTTTATGTCGCTCATTTGTCGTTATCTTCAGCTTTTTTTTATTATATATGGGTAAAAGCTAGCATTTATAACCCTTACTGTGTGTTTGCAAGAAAAGTAACTGATTGAGGAGTATTTTCATTTCATTTGGAAAAAATAATAATTTGGGTTACTTCTTTCCTGTTTGATTCAAAGTATTTAACAAACATGTTTTTGCATCATTGTAAAACAAAAACAGGCCAATTAATTTGTAAACACCTTCATGACATTTTATTCCAAATTGCACTTAAGCACAAAGGCATGTTCCAACGAGTTTGTTTCCAAAAGAACAATTAAAGCAGACACAGACATACATGTCTGAAGCAGCTGTCTTTTTCAAAACATGCTGCTCACAACAAATTGAATACCGGAAAGACAGAACAGCTGCCTTGTTTACAAATCAAAATATATATAAACACCTTTCTTATACTGACTATCAAATGTTCAATGAAATTAATTCATTTCCTTTTCCATGTGATTCATTCTGTTTATTAACTATAAAGTAACCTGAAAAAATTGAATTTAGCTTTTGGGAAAATGAAAGGGGGAACAGTCTAAACGGAAGCAAATGTTTGTGAAGGATTTTTTTAAAACAATGACACTACTTTTACTGTGTTTAAGAGATAGAACAAAATAATTGATATGCCCACAGGTATCTTCAATACTCAATTTTCTATATGCCCACAGGTATCTTCAATTCCCAATTTATCTTAATTACGACTTTCCATTTGAGAAACAAGAGGTTTAATGTTGTCGTAGAAAATTTTAAATTTGGATATTCGTCTTGTGCAAGACAGATACCCATAATATCTCCATAAATAATCTAGTGATTATACACGATAACGAATCCCTCCGCAGAACTTGAAGCACGTAGGCTTACTACTCTGGCTTACTCTACAAAACATTACGAAGAGCAACAAAAAACATAGGTCTAAAAGACAGAGAGAAATGGTTCGGTTTGAAAATAATCAATACAGTATTCGCTTAAAACACGAAGGCAACTTTATGGATTTTCACACACTAACGACAAAGTGAGAACTATGACGTCACAAACCTGTGATTAGCGTTTATTATCATTTATACCCGTGTGTCCATGACGTCATTCTTACTTTGGTACAAGCTACAAAAGAAACTTCATTGTTTGATACCCTATTTATTCTTGTTCAGTATTAAAAGATATAATGATTTGTGGTCTAAGGTATATCTAAATTTACTGATATTTGTTTAATTTCTCACACAGATTTGAAACAAGTATTCCAAATTTTAGAAGAAAAGATATGGAAAAGTACTTTAAAATGCGATCAACTAGCCTAATATGTACCTCCTACAGGAATGTCAGAAAGCATTATTTGTTGTTTTGTCTACCTTTGCAAAACATCTCACTAAAGCTAAAATTGATGAAAAATCCCCACGTGTAAGAAAAAAAAAACTCCGTTATGTTTAGGAAAATTTTCCTGATAAAAATGTGTACTCTTACACGTCAAGTTTCTGAAAATATATGGTCTCATTACTTATTTATTTTGAACTCCTCATATTTATTGACTGCTCACAAAAATTTGCTCTACATCCTATCAATAACACGTTAGTTTTCATCCTAGTATCACTGCTTGTATTGAAAAAAATAAAGGTAACATACCAAATACATGTATACAATATCTATTGTTGGTCACTTTTCTTTGCATTGTGACATCAGAGATTCATTTGGGGGGGGGGGGGGGATGGAGAAAGAGAAAAAAATAGGGTCAATAATGTCGAAGAAACTTTAGAATGATATCGATTCTATTTCTTAACATGGTTGGTTATTAAGCCAAGAAGTAAATCAGTACATACACATTATAACAGGTAGATAACATTTTTTTACTCTCAAATGCTTAGTATGTTGACTCAGTATAGTACATTTTCATATTGAGGTAGGTAGAATAAAAGTATAGAAATTTCTTAATTAATCAAAAAATTCGTCATTTTTATGTGTCTACTTACTATATACTGGTATTTTCTTTTTTCCTTCTTGTAGTACTTTTAGCTGTAGGTAATAGAAACTTTGTAATCTGTTTTAGAAATCGTTTACAATCTGTTCTAGAAATTAAAAATTTTTAATATAAAGTTTCCGGAATATAATTTGCAAAACAAGGTACAAATATATGAAGATGATAAATTTTTATTTTCTTTACAGTTTAGCTGTTAAGACGGGAAACGGGTCACCGGGAGGGTCACGTGACAAAACAATTACTGTACAGAAACCAGACGAGCCGTAAGTACTCAAGTGAATGTTTGATTTAATTACTTCTGGGAATTTTTCACACATCCCATGTAAGGGGCCTCACTAATTACCCAAGTAAATCTTCAAAATTAAAATAGTGTTCCAGACTCGATAATCACTGAGCAATCACAGGTACTTGTAGACAGAACCCAATCCCCCACCCCCGATAAAATATCAAACGTGGGGCTTGGATATTTTTTAACAAATTATATTCATTACACTTATTTCGTTACACTTATTAAGTATACCATACCACGGGAAAAATCGGGAAAAACTGGAAAATACTCGTCCCATACAAAAATGTCCTACTGTACATTATAAGAGATATAATGTATGTAGTAGGGTATTTTTCATGGAACAACTATCTTCCAATTTTTCAAGATTTTTCCGTACAAAAAATATTTTTTAATATCAAGAATTTTAAAATGCAAGTAAAAATTGGAAAAAATGTATATTTCTTGTTTTATAACAGGTAATCGAGCACGAAAATAAAGATTTCAAGTATAAATCATAAGGTTATCGCATTTAAATCACAATTTCAATCCCAACTTTTTGCATGTAAATATAAATAATAACAATTTTTCGAATACGATAATCAAGTTTTCATTTATAAATCTGAAGATCATTGCACAGCAAATCTCAAAGCATTTAAGTCAAAGACTATTACTCATGTATTACAATAATATCGAAATGAATCACAAGCTTTTGCATATAAAAAACATGTTTTTGAAAATGGATGACACATTTTTGAATACGATAACAAGATTTTGTACAATTACAAGTTTACTAATTTCACAATTATCGACTGTATCAAGAATTCAGAACATGAATTACAAACTAAAAATACAAATAAGTTTTCGAATGTAAATGGCAGATATTGATAAAATGAATGACACGTTTTGCGAAATCAAAGAATATTATCAATAATATGCAACGTTCTACCTCTAACAAAAAATACTATTATAAACTTCAGTTAACTATCGTAAATCAAAGTTCCGAAGATTTCACAATAGTAAATTAAAGTTGAAAAGATTTCTCTGTAGTAAATAAAAGTTACATTGTTTTTACAATAGTAAATCAAACTTCAACAGCTTTCACTTTAAATCAAATTTCCAATGGTTTTACTTTGGTTCTGAATGAAACAACCCTAACACTTTGACACTATATATATAGTGATCACTTTGAAAACATTGATTTTTTTTAGTTAGCACTTTGCCACTATATGATCACTTTGAAAACTTTGATTTACTATAGTGATCACTTTGACATTTTAATTTACCATAGTTAACCATTGTAAACTATTGTCAACTATGATTTTTTGTTAGGGAAATTTCATTTTATAGTATATTATTTTTCTTTTTCCATTAAAAATTTTTACACTTCATCTGCATTAAATTAAAGACATTTAAATAGATATTGCTTATTTCTCTGCGCGAGAGACAATCTTACATCAAAATTCATTTCTTGGACAGTATTGTTTTTGGGGAAAGGTCAGTTTTCTTTTAAGTTCTCTGAAGTTTTTATGGATTAAATATCATAAGATGGAAATCAAAAACTATATTCTACAGGTTTTGCTACTGCAAATCAAAGATTTTACGATAGTACATCAAAGTTCAAAAGTTTTCTCCATAGTAAAAGTTTCAATGGTTATACCATAGTAAATCAAAGTTCCAAAGTTTCAACTATAGTAAATAAAAGTTTTCATTGCAGTAAAATCAAAGTTCTTCAGTTGTTAGTATAGTAAATCAAAGTTCCAAAGTTTTACTATAGCTAGTCAAAGTTCTAAAGTTTAAACTTAGACACCATGGATAACTAAAGTAAACTTAAGTAAACTATACATATAGTTAACTATAGTATTTTTTATCATGGACTATCCATAAATAAGTCTAGTTTGAATAAATATAAAGTCGGAGTAAAAATAATTTTGAATGTCTCTCTATTTTTTTCATTGGCAGTGAACATCGAAATTTGAAAATCAATAGTATTTATTTGGTATGAATCGTTGAAAAACTGGGAATTTGTGACATATACGTAACTGTTAACTTCCTTGGGGAGAACGATTATGCAAGAAAAAAATGATTATTTGAACAAACGCATTAAATAGTGTTGCAAAAGAGTTTGTTCCTGAATATCCTATTTACATTATGAAGTTCATAAATTGTATTAAGTACATTTATCCGCATCTAATTCACTAAATTTGTGCTTATTTTATTGAATTGCTGCAGATACTAGTACATGTAATTTATACAGATATTCAAATATGTACTCTGTAACATTGAGGAAAAGAAGTTGACAAAAATATTCAATTTCTATCGATACAGATTATTATTATCCAGGTTGTTTTGTATAATAGAAAAATGAAAAAGCACTATATATATTTATATGTATTTTTTTTCTTAGCCCAACACCTGAGGAAATACAGAGTTGGGGAGAGTCATTTGATAAACTCATGAGGAATTATGGTAATTCGCATATTAACTTTTTAACTTTAATGCTTTCCTTTCCCCCTTTTTCTCTTATCTTTATATGTAGCTTTATAAAAGATTTCATAAGTCAAAGATAAAAATCTTATTTTTATTTTTATCATAACGTGGATGGGATTTCTCAATTTGTATTTTTTTATGCATATTTAATTTATTTTGTCATGATTTACTCAGTACTTAAGATACAAAAGGTTGTTAAAGTTTTCAGTATCCTAAGTACTGAAAATCGGAGGTCAAGTTATTAAAAAAGTTCAAAAAATGCCTCTTAAGGACAGACGATACGTTCCATAATAATATAAGATTTTGTCATTTAATAATTGTATAATAATTGCAACTTAAACATGTTTACTCAATAAAATTGTACCTTACCAGGCATTTGTGCAAAATACCAGAGGGTAATTTTTCTCATACAATCCTTTTGGGAAAAAATAATTTTCTAATATCAAGTTTTTTGGTGTTTTGGTAGAAACAGGTTTATAAATCAGAATGTAATTAAAATTTTGAATATTTTTCATACATTACGAAGATATACAAAACATACTGAGGAACGTCTCGTCTGACCTTAATAAGCAAGGTTCTATTTAATCTTTTTCATTTGAAAATGAGATTGTTTCAGGAAAAAAATCAATTTCAAACATCACTTTGAAACTTTTAAATTACAATAAATTTACAGAGATATCGTTCATAGCAAAGGAGTGGATATCCTAAAAAGTAATTTATGCAATTGATTAGAAATCTAGAAAACAAAAACAAGCCATACATCGACAAAACGACAATATTTTAATTCCAATGTTTTTCATGTATACTTGTTAAAATATACAAGGTTTAACTTTCAATAAAAACACCTCGATTTATTATTATTATTCCAATTTATGGCATAATGTAATGAAGCATCTTCTCTTTCCTTTTTTTAAAAATGTACTTTACAAAATTCAATTGTTTCTTTACAGCAGGGAGAAAAACGTTCAGAGAATTTCTACGCTCAGAATATAGTGAAGAAAACATGCTTTTCTGGTTAGCGTGTGAAGAAATTAAGCGTGAGGATAACCCGGAAGTAGTTGAGGAGAAAGCTAGGAATATATACGAAGATTATATATCTATATTATCACCTAAAGAGGTCTGTACTCATCTCAGTCTCTGTGGTAACTAGTTAAAATTATACATAAGAATATATGATTGCTTATTTATGTGTATATTAACTGGATCTTGATTTGCTTTCAAACACTCTTAATTCAGACGCTCGGCTTTGGAATCGCTGAATTAATTTCATCCAATTTCAGCTTAGGACATCTTGGGAGAAAAGGGAGACTTAAATTATAAATTTCATGGTCCCTACAATGCTCCTTGTCCCCTGGGAGCTAAGATATTGAGCTTAAAGCAACACAATTAGCTCTATCTTTAATATAATCTTCTTTACTCCTGGGTCTCAAGCAGTCAAATTATTAGAATGATTGTTAGAAACATTGGTTCCTCTACTAACAACGTAAAATTTATTGCCCCAAGGGTCAGATCAAGAATATATCGTCTTAAATTTTTGTTGAATTTTTGGCTCAAGGGCGAGGGGCTTTTCAAGAGGGTACTTTGTTTATTTAATTATGAAAGTGTATTTTATATTTCTTTAAGTATTAAATTATAGTGAACAAGGGTGCCTCTTTTATATATTTTAAATTTCATTGCCTGTTTGTCTGGCGTTCTGAAAATAGGGTCGGGACTCTTTTCATTATATCGTGAAATGCATCGATTCTTTCAAAATTTTCTTCTCTGCTTCTTAGTATTTACAAGATAAACTAAGTTCATGATAATGATGATCAAAAGGTATCGTCCTCACCTAGTGTATGGTTTTAATGAATGCCTCTTCCAAAATTGTACAATTGATATTCAGGTCAGTTCTGGTCATAGGGTAGACATTTATTGTTTATATATTATAATAAAATGCAGTATATCTTTGAAAATCTTTTGTGCTACTTAGCATTAAACAAGCAAATCAAAGTTCTAAGTTTGGTTAAGGCATGGCGGAGGAGACAACAGTATTCTCATGGACATATTCAAAAAATTCTCAAATTGTTTCATGGGCATTTTTCTCCAATATCAATATTAATAAGATGAGCAAAGGTATCCACTGATCATTTGTTTAAAGTTAAAACAGCTATTACAAAATTTCTGGAATTTTACCTCGAGTTTCATATTTGTAAATTTATTCATATCACCTCACTATGCTTCGTAATTCAAAAAGTGAGACAAGAAATTTACCCAAAAATTGATATGAATTATATTATACTTGTTTCTGCTTTTCTATTCCAGGTTAGTTTAGATTCACGAGTACGAGAAGTGATAAATAGGAATATGGTCGATCCTACTCCACATACATTCGACGAGGCACAATTACAAATATATACTTTAATGCATCGAGATTCTTATCCTCGTTTTTTAAATTCTCAGATATATAAAAAACTGCTACAGCAGAACTCTTAATCTTAGGATTTTCCAATTACTGTTCATGTGTTGCATTATGTCTACTGTGAGACGATGACGTCATAATAAAAGTGACAGAAGTGATGTGTGAAAATGTGTCAGTGCAATATATCTGGTTTTCTAGTCACGTGACGGACCGCTGGTTGCCCCTGTACCATTCACATATAATGAGAACCTACAAGATGAACAAGAACGATAACTCAAAGAGAAATATTGTTATTGACTTTATGTAATGTGGTTACACGTATATATACCATGTGGCTCTTTTTCCATATCCTCAAATCGATATGATATTTTTCTTACCTATCAATGTTGTCTTGTTCTAGGAATCTGTGAGGCGTACTGGTTATGACGACCATTAGTATTTTCTAATAGATAGTTTGGTGATTGTGCGTTGCCCTCCTTTTACCTTATTCAATCATGCTGACGATTTGAGGGATGGGGTGTCTGGTTTAAACACGTAACGGAGAAGAGACTTATTATCAATATATTAACTGGGCATTAAGTTCCATTTGAATAACTTGAAATTACGTTTGCCCTGAATAAAAAAACTAATAGGTTGTTAATTTTGTTTACACATTCTGAGACCCAGGTATAACGATCGCTCATTCCTAAATACTTTTTTTTTTTTAATTTTTCCATATTTTAAGTGTTTTATTTCGAAATTTATCGTTGCAAAAGTATTTTATTATATTCCACTTTCCCATTAAGTAAGAATTGTTTTTTGTACTTAAATTCATATCATAAAGCATATTAACAAGATGTCGCTCATTCCTGTGTATTTAGGGTGGATAATGTTCCAACATTTCAGAAATTTTATTTTTCGTAATTACCAACTCCTTTTGTTATTTTCAAAAGATTTATACCTATACTTTCCATACAAAACGAATATAAATAGATTCGGAACGACAGATGCACAAATAGAGAGCGTTTGTTGAAATAAGTAACGGGTTATCCCAAGAAAGAGAATAGAAAAGATTCTTTATACCTTTAGCAATCACTGATGTTAATTTTAAAAAATAACCATTATTTACTGTGATGCATCTTTAAAGAACAGACCCACGGGTTGCTGTGTGTAGGTCTTCGGCATTTATAGAAAAATCTTAATATTTTTTTCTTTATTTTGTTCTTTGTATATTTTTTTTTACCTTAGCCATGAATAAGGGAAACATAAACTTTGTGCTTAGATATTATGGCGCCTTTTTAAAACTTAAAGAAAGGTTAATTTTTAATCCACTGCAGCTTTACAAAAACAATGAGATCAACTCAATTATGTCTAGTTGATGTTCCGTTTTATTTCACAGGCTATATCAGAAACTGATAAATTATTAAATAACATGACAATCTTCTTGGACAATATGAACAACATTACTCATTTCTGGTTATGCATACTTTGAAAAAGTTTCATGTATGTCTATTAGATTTTAAACATTGTCACTTGCATCAAATGACCTTAAGAATCTAATTATTCATAAATTAACTTTACCTATCCTTTATGAAGGTAATTTTTGCCAGTGTTCGGGTTTATAACTGCTGAATGGAGAAGCATTTCCGACACAGTAATTAGTGATAAATTATTTTGTAAACCCAAATCTTTGTTAATGTTTTCCAGCGATTTAGTTGTGACATATTCATGGAAGTTATCTTTCATAGATTATTTGTTAATTTGGAAATGTATGTTTTGTACTCGTTATTACCAGATATTTACAATATGACCAACTGTATTTATCATACAATGGATACAAAGTGCGGTTCATGTGTATTATGTTGCATAATATATAGGAATTAAAATCAACGACTAAGAGATCGGCTTTGTAATTCTTTACAGATGAATCTCATGATCAGGGATTAATAAAAGAAAATATTGATATAATGTAATATAACTGGATGTTTAGGTTTATTGTTAATTATAATCCTCGTTATTAGCAGACCTATTTTTATTCATATTAAGCAGAATTTTTGCAAAATCTTATGCTTGAAAAGAAGAAAACACTTTCTGTGGCTCCAACTCGACAATTAGATATATCGACGACGTATTGTCAATTAACAATGGTAATGTCCATTCTTATGTCGATACGATATATCCTGGTGAGCTCAGGATAATATCACGGAGTCTGACACTTCTGTTTCATATTTGGACATTTTACTTGCAAAAGACGTTAATAGTAATAGAACAACCAAGCTGTATGATAAACGTGACGACATTAACTTTTCTGTCGTTAATTTCCCTTACTTATGTAGCAATATACCTTCATCACCTCCATTCGGAGTTTATATATCTCAGTGGATTTGATACGCAAGAGCATGCTCTACGTATGAACAATTTCTAAAACGAGATAAATTATTGACAAACAAGTTGATGAAACAAGAATTTCAGTTGTCTCGTTTAAAGTCATAATTTCGCAAGTTCTATGGTTGATACAATGACTTTGTCAGCAAATACAATTTATCATTGAGTCAAATGCTTACTGACTTTTTTCATACAAATTGTTAATCCATTATTTATGGACTGAATTGATGACGGATTTTTCCGTTATTTCCCGATCATGACAAGGAGCATACAGTGGGTTTGACCGGTCGGCAGGGGATGCTTACTCGTCTATGGCACCTGGTCCTACCTCCAATGTTCTGGATGTCTGTGTTTGCTCTGCTCCTATTTCATATTGTTTAATGGACTTTTGATCTTTTTATCTCCATATGTTTCATTCCTAGCGAAATCTGGGAACGTATTGTTTTACATTCTTTCTCAATTTTTTATCTTACATTGCACTACTCAGCCAATTGAGATAATACCTTTATATGCATATTTGTTTAAAGAACAAATCATATTGCGTGCAAATACATGCACTTGAGAGCGCGAGCGATGAGTAAAATGACCACCGATGCATTAAAAGAATGTTAAAATTTCATGTGGCTGATCAGTGAAATTTTCAGGTTAAAAGTACCCCACATTTATGACGAATGTCAATCAAATGTACCCTCGTTCATTTAAAAGAACTGATTTTTAGAAGTGAAGTGATGAGTTAGCCTTTTTTGGTCAGTCTCTTGTTCCGAATCGAGGTCGGAGATATGACCTAAGTAACCACAGGTCATGGATAACACTCTGTTCAGGATAAATCATGTTATCTGGTTGTTATATCTTGATTTCAAACTGAAGATGTAGGTCTCGAAAAAGCAAACAAAAGGAAAGATAAAACTAAAACGGAATTTGACCATACAATACCCTGGTATCTTTTTTTTTTTAGGAAAAAGAGGCTGAAATGAAATCTTTATTAGTTCAATAGATATCTTTATGTAAGCAAACTACATTTATCATAATTTGAACTACGCTCCTGAATTTGCTGATAAGATCCACGCCTTTCTTCTTTCCGATATGGCGTATCTCATCGAGATTAACACAATGGTCTGGTCACTGTACCCGATACTCTGTGGTTATCAAGGAGGTTACTCATATGATCAAACATGCGCTCATCTATCAGATAATTCATTTTAGAGACGTATTTGATCGTTGGTATATCACTGTTTAAGGGAACTGTCGCAGTGAAAATGCTGAGGGAAATAATTGCATTCTGTGTCCTTGCATCTGTAACAGGTAATTACTATTTTATAAATTTAAATTGCTTATGTTATTCACATACACTGATATTCCCATAAAAAGTTTCAATGAAGGTGATAAAAATCACTTTGTAAGAAATGGTAATAAATGGTTCTAGCATGCAAAAAAATTATTTTGCTTTTTAAATTAAAAAGTATTGATGAAATATGTCTAAAAGTCCATAAAAAAGTTAAATATCAACATGAAACATATGGAGATAACGAACAGTATTCAAGCTCAAAAGTCCATAAAACAATACAAAATAGGATTTACACCGCTTCTCGAATATATTGTTAAACAGTACTCTAAGGTTATTCATCCACTGCTGTGACATCCAGTAAAGAAAAAGAAAAAAAGCTTGGTAGAACATCTATTTAAAACCGCTATGTATATTCTTCGTAATGATATTTATAAAGTTAAGGAATCCATGATAGGTATAGTTATTAAAAATTATTTTCATTTCACTCCTTAAAAAGGGAGCAATGGGAATACGTTGGATTACTACTTGCAGAATTCAATCCAAATTCGTATAACATACACTAAATAATAAGTCTTACAAGCAAAGAAATTTTGTAATCTGCTCTATCTGCTGGTACCAGAATATACTGATCGTGAAGCCTATCGACATCTATATTTTTTTATTTTAGACCGATGGAACGATTGCTTTCATATTTTTCCTCAACTGCTAGATGTGAGATTTAAATATTCATCTGATACTTTTAATCCATTCAGACAAAGTGTCAAGGTCTTCTTTTTGCATCTTTGACCCATCATCCCGAGTATTGTTCCACACAATTCTTAATATAAATGAAATTATTAAGCCAGTTGACACTTCGTGATATGTCATATTATTTTTAAGTATTCTATTGCTGAAATATAACGTCATAAGACAAAAAATATTTTCAGGAAAATCCATAATGGCATCTATGTCGTGGATAGCACATATACCTTTTAAAACTACATTTGCTGGCCAGCGACGAAATAAAAACTACTGGTAACATATAAAACTAAAGAAAAGTCATGCATGTATAAAGTAACAGAGCAAGAATCATACAATATCGTAGACACAATCAATAGATAAAAGGAGGATTTAGTAGATAAAGAGTATTTAAAGTTCAGTGTTCAAATCTAGACCAATACAATAATTTCATGTGATTACACGCTAAGGTTATTTTAATAGAAATCATTACAAATAGCTCAAAATAGTTGTGTATCGTTTTTTTTAATTAAATTTCATTTTAATTTGGAAAGTGACATCAAAATTATGGAATGTAGGATTCTTCTCATATTTCTTGTATTTGAAAATTAATGAAATTTCACAGAATTAAGAAGACAATATCACTAAGTGATGGTATCAGTGAGATTAAATTTGACCATTTTATATTAGAGACAAGATCAGGTCAAAGCCAATACGGGGTACCTTTTTCCTCGACATTAATAATTAAAAAAAAAATTTGTTGCTAATTCTGCGATCCCTACTTGCATTTCAAGAGATTGAATGTTTTTCTTTTTGCATAAAAAAGATACCATCATAAAGGGCCTATAAGATAATTTTGCCAAATTGACATAAATAATTTAACTGAAGTAGATATTGGCTGATCCGAATATTCTCTATATTTCTTAAATTTTTATGATATATTAGTTATTTTTATATGCTTCTTATATTTAAATTTTTCTCATTTTCAAAAATGGTAAAGTTGTCACATAAAGATACAAAATGAGACAAAAACCAAAAATGTTTTGATCGTTTACTAAGAGAGAAAAAAAATTACTTTTTATGGAATTTTGGCTCAAATCTGTACTCAGATTGGAAGCTTATAAAAGTTAGCATATTTCTAGTTTGTTTGAAAAATCATTTATTGAGAACTTTAGTCCATTATTATTAATTAAACTTACATTTGAAAAGTTGTTCAAGTCTTTGATTGTGTAAAAATTATAACTAAATTCATTGTTTTATAATAATTTTGAGATGTAAAAAGAAGATATTTTCATACGCCACCATTTCGCCAAAAATATAGTCCATTCTAGTTTTCAAACGCGGTTTACCATTTCTATTTAAAGTTGTAAAATTGTGATGAGGAAAGAAAATATGGTATTTTAAACATATTACATCTAAATATACAAGAAACTTAAGCAAATATACTTTGAATATTTCATCTAGTCAGAAACCAAAGAATTCAGAATTCAGTGTATAGATAATAGACTAACAATTAGTATTAACTCTCTTTTTTTCCAAATTAAAAATTCTGCAAAGTGTAAAGGGACAAAGGCCGAGTATATTTGATGGAAAATCCATGATTGCTACCTACATATATTCGTCATTTGTGCTCTTTAATTTTTCATTTACCATCTGCATGATGGTATTATAGTGCATGTTCCACATATGAATAAATTAGTCTGTTTGATTTTTAAAAATACGGATTATACATGAACTAATACTTTGAACATTCTTGTTTTTCGGCTTCTATCAGCTATAGTCTTTGCCGGGCACAGCATTTCATTACAGTTCAAATTAACATAATAAAAGCAAAAATCTTACAAGAAGCTAAATACAGGGAATTTTGATCTTTGAATAAGTGATAAAGCTTTCTTTTTGGAGTTCTGACTAAAATCAATTTGGACTAAATTTGGCGTAGGAGACCTGAAAACTTTAGAAATATAAAATATATTGAATAGTGGTTTTAGGAAGTTTATAGGCAAAATAAGAACCATCTTATCCTCCTGTTTTCACTTAATCGAAAGTGGTTAAGAATAAGACAGATAACTTGAAAAATTTATTCTGGTACCAGCAACAAGACTTAAAAAACGTCTTTGGTTTTTTTTTTTTTTTTTTGGGGGGGGGGGGGTCCTTATTATGAATTTATTTAAGAAATTAGTTTTCATTTGAAGTCTGAAAATCATCTTATACTCACATTTAATTTTGTAAGGAATGAATTTTTAAAAATCACATTTTATTATATAATACTGTTAACATTCAAATCATCCAATATGACTTTGATCTTCACTACTATCTCTTTCCAGAAAGGAGAAACTTTTGACGGATTGTGCCATAGAAATATTTTAGAAATTACACTTTATATAAATAAAACTTTGAGGAACTCAAAGGAACTTTAAGTAAACTTAATGTCACCGAATTTTCCAAGAAGCCAAAACATATTAAATTTCACCACTTTTTAACCAATCCCTCAAAACATCAGAAGAAAAGGTTTTTCCATTATATATAAAGACACACACTCCTTCACTAGAATTTTAACTTTAATAAAATTATACTGAAGGGAAAAAGAAACGCATAATAAACTTCTGAATTAAATTAAAACTATCATTTCGAATATGATTTCCAGAATTGTTATCAAACATTTCAATTCATCTTTAATCAACAAGTTACCAAAATCTTGTGTAAGTTTGACTGATTATTCATGAGTTATTGAAATTGATGAGTCAATACCCCTCAACAATTAAAATAAAAATTCTTATCATCTCCCTTGCGATTCAGTAACAGCCTTCGTTCTCCTGTGCATTGAGTTCGTCAGAGCATTTATCTTTCTCATAGGATTATTATTTAACCCTTCCGACGGTGGTCTTCATGGCTGAGAGTAGCTGTAACATTCGAAAGCCAACAAATCCCCCCGCCCAATGAATCTCTCAAATTTCGATTTAGGATAGAATCCGGTTGGTTTGGTACACGTGAATAAAAAGGTAAGAAAGTCTCCCCTAACACTGGTTACATTTTCCCATTGTGAACATTTTAAAAACATTACGCATACGACGCGTTCGTGCGCGTGTGAGAGTAAAATTGACGTTGCCACGCTGGCGGACCAAATTAAAGCAGAGAGTTTCTGTATGTATTCGGATGAAAATTATGAGTCAAAATGTTTTCATATATTATGTTCTTATGCGTTTCTTTTTCCTTCAGTATATAATTCGGAAATGTTCGATTCTCATAATATATAGGTCTTCAACAACTCTTTTTGTTAAAAATAACTCTGAATCTACACACAAGTACAATGAAGTCGATATTTAAAGAATGTTGAAGTTCTGTCTTTAAATCATTACTATAGTCTCTGGATACCAAGTCTTTTAATAAAGTTTTGTAATTTGAAAGGCTCCTATTGTAAATTGGTATCAATTTTTGACATTGTTAAGCGGTGGGCGTATTTTTATGTTCAATATAGCAGAGTTCTTGGAAGAAAAACAGACAGATATTTATTGTCTACGTTTTATCAATTGATAATAAAAACATATGTTTACCAAAATTCAGCTCAATATCTGCAAGCGTTTAGAAAAAAATTGCGGAAAACCAAGTAGGACAGACTGTCAGACCGACGGGGGCAGACAACTGGACGGACAGACGGACAAACGCAGAGGAAATCTATAGTCCCCTTCGGTTTCACCGGTAGGGGACTAATAAAAGTAAACTAAAAAAATATGATTACCTTAATTACAGTTTTGAAATTGTCAACTTCCCAACTGTAGTATTATACCACATCACCTGCATATGGTGTTTATGTATATCTCTTCGATATGCAAGAAAATGCGCCATGTACTAACAATATTCAAACAAACTGTGGAAAGCTACTGACAAACAAGTTCATGAAACAAGAATATCAAAACCTCGTTTTAGTCTTTATTTTACAAGTTATATTAGAAATATGACTTTGCCAGCAAATTCAATCTATACATCATTAAGTCAAACAGGCTAACTGAAGTTTCCATACTTATTGCTAATCCATTATTTGCAGACTGAAGTGTTTATGGCACCCCATCTCAGATCCGATATTGAAGAGGTCAATGTTTACTCGGCTCCTGATTTATATTGTTTGGATGGACTTGAATACTGTTTGATATCTGCTTATTTCATTTCGTAGAGAAATGAATCCGCTCAAAAATTACGCGGACTCGGCTATTACTTACTCTTACAGACGTCATATAGTTATGATTTTCCACAGAAATATATATCTCAAAGATTCCAGTACATTTTGAGCAAAAATTTTATATTTTAGAAAAATTCTCATAAAAATTGCTGATGGAGAGGTACGGAGCACGACAAAAAAAATGAAATAAAAACATGCGGAATCCAAAATTTAACTCATTAATTTTCTATAATTCGCGATATTTTTCGACAATTTTCTCAAATGTATCTTTATATTGTTTTATTATTATGTATTTAGATTTCTGACGTGATATTTGAATTACTAACAGAAATAAAGTGATTTTTCTCCGATGCGATTCCTGTGAAAATTACATTGACGGAGCACCACCTTTTTGCTAAATTATGTGTAATGCTCAAGATATCGTCAACATAGATCCAAAATATGCATAATAAAACATGTAGTAAACTAGGGTATTCGTGACATTTGTCTACAAATACATGTAGCAAATTGGAATTTAAGACCGTTAGACTTCTGTAAAAAGGCTATACGGGAGGACGGGAGGACGGGAAGAAGATTATCGACGAAATCTTGATGCGGACTGTAAAGAACGTGATTGAGAATGACCAAATTGAATGTCAAGCTATATCTCATAAAAACCTGCAGTTTTTTTTTATTTTAAAACAAAAAACAATATCTTTACTTGTTTTATATCGATTTTAAGCTTGACAAAAATGGTTTATGGAGTTGAATAGATAAGGTAACTCAAACTGTACAGGAACTCTTGGGAAAATGTTGAGAAAATGAAAACTCTTTTTTTATTTTAATTTTTTTATAATGTCCGTGACGTCGAAGATTTTGCTGCTCCGTGACTTAATGATATGTCCTGATAAATCACCAAAAATTGATACCAATTTACAACATTTAGATATTAAATTTTGAAGACCATATAAGTAATTAAAAGAATTTTTTATATCATGTGTCACGTTTTGTCCGATTATGTCGTCAAATATTTTTTCTGTGCAACAAGTCCGCGTAATTTTTGAACGGTCCTCGTAATATTATTATTTTTCCGTCAACATTTTGCTGTTCTCTCTTTCTTATCAAAGTTTTTCTTTGTTTTTAAAGTATTACGTCCCTTTTTAAAAGCATCCCTCAAACTTGGATGCCACAAATTGCTACATGTAGCTTCATATTAAGTGCTGTACACACATTGACATTTTTGCATTGAGCGATGATCCACTGGTACGAAAACTTTGCACTAAATCATTTTATCCTAAGGACATCAATTGAGTAAAAATATGTACGAGTAGTTTGTGATAAGGGATCTTGATTAAACATTATTTCATTCACAGCTGCACCAAACATTCATTCTGACCTTATTACCTGTGAGATTTGCCATGTGGCGGTTCATGATCTCCAGAAACTCGTTGCGGAAAATGCCACACAGGTAGGGTAAAATCTACACGTTGAATATTAAAATTACACAAGATATAAACATAATTATTTAAGGTGGCAGTTAAAATGGGAAATTCCCATGAATTTAATCAACTGCTTAATTAAATATTGCTGATTGGATGAAAAAGTTGGTAATGGTTTTTTTGCTTTTGTAGGTATAATTAACACTTTAGTCTCATGAAAAGAAACTTAGTCATTGCTAATTTGATAAATTAGTGAGATAACATTTTCCTGGCAAGCCAAGGACAGAGGAAACAAACATTTTTTTTCTTTGAAGGAGACTTAACATCATGTCACATGTTTTAAAAACTGTATAATTCTTAGACTTTTTTACTAATTAGACCAGGAAATGAAATAGACTTCGAAAATATTCATGAATCCTTCAATAAAATACAGATATAGACAAATCACATTCAGTAAAAGATTGCAGATGAATATTTTAGCTTCATGCTAAAACTGTAATAAAAACTTTAGAAAAATATACCAAGCCTGACAAAATTTATGAGGAAAAGCAAAATGGTAAAAATCAGCCCATGTGATTTTTCTGATTTTTTATCATTTTGTTTTCCCTAAAAAAAAATCACCTGGTTTGGTATATTTTTTTAAAGTACTGAAGTATCACTAATATTTTTCCAAGTTTATTTCATTTTCCAAGTCTTAGTAGAAAAATGCTAACGAATTATCCACTTTTCAAAACCTGTGACATGTTATTTAGTGTCCTCCGAGAAAAAAAAAATGTTTATCATCTGTCCTTCAGATGTGTAACAGTTTCATGATCAGTTAATTTAATATTTTTTTAAGTAAATGCATTTTATCACTCCGAGATTGCTAAATGGAAAAATCAAACTAAATGATTAGAACAATTAGTAAAGGGATCTCCTTACAAAATCTTGACAAAAGTTCCTATCCAAAAGTTTCTTGTAGTTACTCATGACGTAATGTTTATTACAAACTAATAAACCAAAAAGAAAATATATTTTAAATCTGTCTTTTTAAGACTGGCTGAAAACCACGACACATCTTTTCAAAATGTTTGGAGAATTCTCTTCCAAAAATTATCATAAATCCTGTTTTCTAATTTTTTCAGTATTAGAACGGAAAAAATGCTATCCAACCCGACTTTTAAATAGCGACTTTTGTCATGTATGATTGTACAAATAAATGATATTAAAAATCTATGACATCTTGAAAATCTCTTTTCCTGAGTCAATTTTTGTCCATTTCAAATGTTAGGTTTATATAATTAAAAAAAATCATAAAGCATTTCGGGAAAACAACTCAAAATGGTTCGACAATATCATGATATATTAAAGTTATGAAAAGATTCTCCTCACAATGAACTAAAAAAATTTATGAGAAACTAATTCATACATGCATGGAGTCCTAATTAAGTCATTTATCAGGACGAAATTGACAAGCTATTTGTAGAGACAGAACCAATACTTACCATATAGCTCGGCGCACCATTTTACATTTTTGAGAACTTTAAATAATATACGAGTACATGTAAGTTGATTTGTTCGAATCAAACCTTTAAGAAAAATTTATACTTGAATAAATGTCTTTAAAAAATCTACCTTTCTGCTTATAAAGAAATGCATTTTTTTAGTTTACAGTTGAGGCGAAACTGGAAGATATCTGCAGCAGACTAACATCTCACGTGGAGGACTGTCTTGGGTTTGTCAGATCAAAGGCCCCGGACATATTCAATACACTATCACAAAAGCTGGTAGGTTGGTTTTAATCATCCATATTTTACATTGTATAGTCAAGTATTACAGCAATGAAGAAAGGAAAAATTAAATGACTTGCATAATTCATAGATATTCATTAACAACGAATGTACATTCATTTGAATTGTCAGCATTATTTTATTGTCATTTAAAAAATTAATCATTATTAAACCTGTGTATTACCATTCAATAGTTGCCCTGAATAAGGCAAACTAACTTAGAAAATTAAATATTTTAGAATATGGTTTAATTTCAAGAGATCCTGAACTGTAAATTATCATGAAAGTAAAGGGAAAATGATATTCCATCATGACCATGTAATTTTGCGATTGGTCGATCGTGCCTAATTCATTTTTGTCTGCAATGCATAAAAATACGATATTTTTCTGATATCTTAATGGCCAAATTATTCTTTTTTTATTCTAAGAATTTGTTCGTTTACAAACTTTATCTAATATTATTTTTTAAAACTGAAATCAATGACTATTAAAGCAATGTGAGCTGCAACTTTGATGTCGGAATCTTTTGTTGCAAAATTATAAATAACTATTTCAATGTCAGAAAAAATAACGTAGATAAAATTCTGCTGTTCATATTTTCGATGGAAGAACTATTTAATAGCTTCGATTGAATCTTTATTACATTATTGTCGTCCTGTACAATAATGATGTCATATATAAAACTGTATATTGGATTGTATGTAGAAGTCTTTTGTCTGCTTTATTTTAGTCTAAATGATCATAAATGTTTGAGTTACATACAGATGTATCATAATAACACATTTTAACAGCAAAATAGAATTTTCAAAAATGCAGCTCATTTTGCTTTAAGGCATTCCAAGCCACTTTGGGAGTAAAGTGAACAGTAATGTTTATCTTTTGCTTATTTTTTTTCATCGTATACTTGCACACATATAGGGCGGACTACACTTTAATTAAACAATGTCATAAATATTTGATGATCTTTTTATTAACCCAAATTCAGAAATTAATTGAAATCGATCTCTGCTGTCAGAAAATTTTATGGCTTTTATTCTTAAAAGAAGTGTTTTTAGAAGTGTTTGAATCTTTATCGGTAAAAGAGACAAATGAATTCATAAGAGGTTAAGAAATATTTTAATAATTTCATATTTAATTTGAAATTTATAATGTTTTACTCTAATACTCTCATACACTGTGTGACAGGTAATCCTGAAGTTGTCTGATATATTATATACATGTACTATTCTATATCTGTTAAACCTTTTGTAATATACGTCGATATCCTGTCTACAACTGAATAGATTCACGACTAATGCATACAGTTAACTACAAAATGTTAAAAAAAAACTATAAAATATTTCTCTGGATTATTGCCGCTTAAAATATATTGTGATAACATTTCAAGCTACAAAGTTCTAGATAAATAGGAATCGACCGAGGATACAATTTTGCGACAAGAGTATTCTAAAACATGTCAATATATTTTCAGGATCCAGAGAGTATATGCATTCAGCTAGATGTTTGTCCAAAACCAACAGAAGATTTAGAAAGGAAGATATCTGATGTTATAAGTGAACCAACACTAGCACAGGTATTTAATAATATTAATCTTAATTTTACATTTATTTCTTAATGATTGCCCTGACTAATGGTTTGCCAATGAAGGCAATAGTTTCTTCATTATCATACAATTATTGCTGTTTTAATTTCAGTCATTGTAATGATTTAAATACATAAGAAGTACAATGTTAACAAGTTCGAATATACATAATTGTTTTATAAGATAATTAAATAATACAAATTCGTTGAGCAAATCATGATATCTTCTTTATTTTATACCTTTATTTAAAGCCCAAACGCCATGATAAAAGCATAACTTTAAATAAACATAAATTCAGTCATGTATAGCGACATCGAATTGACGAGAGGAATGGGGAAAGAAGGAAAAAATGAAAGCTAACTTTACAAAATGCTTGACAAATCAAACATGCACACATTCTAGGTTTGAAGGGATAGGAGTTAGCGTCCATAAACATAGGAGGAATTCAAAATGACTAAATAATGTATTTAAAATGAGAAATATTTAACCAGTTTCATTTTAATTATCTAGGCAAACCAGATAGAATGTGAAATTTGCAAACTTTTAGTGACAGAATTTGACAATCTCCTGCAAGGGAACAAATCTGAGGAATTGGTCATAAAAACTGTCCACAACCTCTGCAATGCACTACCAGATGCTTTCAAAAAATTTGTGAGTACATTTAAGATTGTTATGAACAAATATGGAGGGTAAAATCTTCAAAATTGAATTTTGGGCTGTGGCATATTTTGACACATACATGTATTTTTAAAGAATAACTTGTTAAGAAATGATTAACGTTATTTGCTACACAAAAACAAATCGATATATTTTAACTTGTTAAAATCGATTGAAATTAGACGTTGATTTTAATATCAACAACACTCTGAAAAACAAAATTACAATATAATTGTATGTGATTTCAAATGATACTATGCTTTATTTCCATATAGCATACTATCTCTTTTAACTAGCACTTTTGTTTGAATGTACATGTAACTCAGAGGGAGAATTTATTGAAATATCTTACTTTCTATATATTTACCTTCCATTTCTCTTACATGAAGACGAATTGAAGGAACTTAATTTAATAATTGCACATGAAATTGTTTTAGTGCGATGCCTATGCACCGCAGATCATAGAACTGATCGTCTCTGGTGTCGATCCAAAGAAAGCTTGTGATGAACTTAAATTATGCACAGAGGGAGGTACATTAGCAGGTAATAAATTTATTTCAATTTTACAAACAAAATTAACAAATTAAAAGAGATAACACATAAGTAAATGTTAAATCTCAATGGTGGGAAACGGTGACATTTCTGATTAATTTTGCAATATTCCAATTGAAGAAAAATAAAATGATTAAATCAACAGCTTTAGGTGTAAGACGGAGAATTACATTAAATTTATTGTTGGTTACATAAGTTTATATTTTTGAATGTCAACTGAGTTAAATAAAATTGTTTGTTTAATCACTAATTTGATTGAAAGACAATTTTCATTGGAGAATAAGCAACCAATAAACATTAACTACTGCCAGATGTTCGATTTTATTTTTAAAAGTTCCCAAATTTTTAATTAATGTGGAAAATTGCTGATCACCCTACAAATTGTTTTTAATGAAAGAAAACTTACTTTAAGTTCGATAATGAGGACTATTGTAAAGTCAATTTTTTATATAACAAATGTTAGCTTCTGTTTTCTTTTGCAATTGGTTTTGAGGGCAAATAAAACTATTTTACCTAAAATAGTAACACTCGATTCATTTACACTGTTTAAATTCATTAATTCTATCTTTAATTTTCTTATAATTATTAATCATTTACTTAATGTAGAATTTTCATTTTTGGTCAATTAATTTTTTGAGAAAGATAACTTTTGTAGATAACAAAATGATATTCTGACCTTTAAAAAAGCTTAAAAGCAACGCATTATTATGTATCAAATATGCATGATACTAACGAGTAAATACGATATGTGGAGATAACAAACAGTATTCAAGCTAGAAGTCCATTAAAATTGCAAAATAGGGGCAGAGCAAATACGGACCTCTAAAACATCAGAGGTGGAATCAGGTGCCATGGAGTAAGCATCCCCTGCTGACCTGTCATACCCACCGTGTGCTCCATGTCATGATCGAGAGAAAACACGAAACGTAGATAATTCAGGGTGTAAACAAATATTATATTCATGGTTTCCTTATATCTTATATCTTCAGTTCAGATACAAATTAATTGAACCATTTTCTACTGTGTTCAATATTAAATAATTACCTTTCCTTATAGAATTACTAGGGTTTGCAAAAAAAAAAATAAATGAATAAATAAAATAACAATGTCCTCAAAAATGAGATATACAATGGACTCTCAGATATCCGGACGCTTCAGTTTCCGGACAATTATTTATGGGAACAGAATTTTTTAACGTTATTTTGTCTCATTTTACTGGTAATTCAGATATCCGGACGCTTCACATATTCGGGTAAATTGACTGGGAACCAAAGCGTCTGGATAAATGAGGTTCCACTGTACCCTATTTCATTGAGCTAGATTTTTTTTAATTTGTTAGTTCATTTGTTTAAGATTAAAAATTCGAAAATATCATATTATATTATAATATTTAATAATTTCTTTCTCTAGTTAAAATGCGCAGGTATAATTATAACTTAAAATAATGTCAAGTTTACTTTAAAATCATTTACTTTTACATTTTAAGACTCTCTATCCACAGATAAGAGCAACAAAGTACAGACAAATCAACCGACAGAGGTACGTCCTGCTTAACTGTCAAAAAATTAAAGACAAAAATGGATCATCGGGCATCAGATATATATACATTCAACACAAAATTTACGAACGAAAATAGCCATGAATTTATCTTTTCTACAGAGTTTGCGGTTACTTTATGTGATTATGTGAATCAGCTAAAACTTATTTGAAATAACCTTTATTCATTCAAGTTTATATTAGAAATTACAAAATACTAAGAGCTGCATGGTGTTAAATTTTAATCTTCACTACTCGAATATATTCATGTACGTCGATAATCAGTTAGAATTACATTCAATGTTACCACCAGGAGTCCATTTTCAGTTACTGAATATATAGCTCGATACATTCTTTCAGTTTCTTTTTCATATAAAAATATACATACCTGAAAAAATTGAATATTCAGTAAATGAAAAAAAAATATTATTTTGAGCGAAAATATTTTTGTTAACCTTTTCCTAATTTTTTTCCTTTTTTCGTGAAATTGCACATTAACTCCAAAGCATATCGATCCGGTGTGTTATGTTGATATGCTTTTCTGTGAATTTGATATATCTGTGGACTGACTAAATAAAAGGGCAACATGTGTTAACAAAAACAAATTGGAAAACAATAAATAGCAAAAGTATATTAAACAAATGTTTCATTTCGATTTGTTCTTTATGTTTATGAAGGACCCAATATGTGAAGTTTGTAAACTGATTGTAACTGAAGTGGATTGGTACATCAAGAGAAATGCATCATCTGAGACAATTAATACAACCGTTAGCAAAGTCTGCAATAAACTTCCTTCTGCATTTAAGATACTGGTACATGTCTCTTTTTAAATCAAATTTAAATTTCCTGAATTATTTATCATATCATACAACATCCTCTGAACGATTTAATCCCTTTTATTATTTTGTAGTGTAACACTTTGGCCCCTGGTATTGTTAAACACCTGGAAGCAGGATTTGACCCTGCCTCTACCTGTGTGTATCTGAAGCTCTGCTCCCAAAGTACGTATATTACGTTGTTGGTAGAATTCACATCATGTATGTTTGTATTTTATCCCATTGTATGCTAAAATAATCTCATTCAAAAAACGACATCCCTCTAAATTGTTGTTTGCAGCCTCTTTGAAAAAGACATATAACAATACTCTCAAATCAAAAATATTCATCTTTGCAATTTCAATCACATTTTTATTGTACCGAAAGTCTTAAAAACTTTAAAGTTTTGTATGAACGAGGCGTATATATGGCTACTTGTTTATATCTGAAATAGCAGTAGAGTAATATATTGTCCAAGTTTCAAAATATGTAACTGTTTTATCAAATTATGCAAAGGTATGACTTCGTTCTTTTCAATACATTCAAAAAGGGTGTTTGTTTTGTGTCTCCAAAATTTCAGATTTGTGAGGTTCTATTCATCACATGTATCTCTCTGAATTTAAAGAACAGCAATACGGACACAAAGCATTGTTTAAGCCTATATTTAATTATCGTTTTGTGTGTCAAGAATGCGTACATTTGTACAGACATAACAGGGTTTTTATGTACACTAATTCTCTATAAAATGACAAAAATTCAAAATATTATGGTAAACATTCCAATGCTTTATTATCTAAAGTCTTGTTTATTTAGTAGGAATATTTAAATTAGTACGTAAAACATATTTACGTTTTAACTGTGATATTTTTCTGTGGAATGCAGAGAGATTTTTCATTTCATAATTTTTTTCTATCTGCAAAAATAACAATTTTTTTTACTCTAACCTTTGACTTGAATATACATTTTTCCTATCATTTAAATTCTGGGAGGGAAGGCTGTGATAGTTATCATAATACTGTTTGTTTGCATATTCTTTGTTTCAGATGCAGAATTAGTCGAATTCAATCGCAAAGACGAGGTACGTATATAGTTATATTTTTAATATATCTTACTTCTATGCATTTTATAGGAAAAGTATTATAAACACAGGCGAAATACATATAGAAAACCAACCAACAAGTATTACTTATATGTTGATATAATTTTGTCTCGCAGGCCAATCCATTGGAATGTGAAATTTGCAAACTTCTGATAAACGAATTGGACAAATATTTAATCACAAATGACACAAAAGAGAAAGTTGAAGAAGCTGTGATGAAGTTCTGTGACAGCCTGCCTCCAGAAATCAAATCTTTTGTGAGTAGATTTTCATTGCTAATTACTGACAAACTTTGATAAAATATATGAAACTATTATTTTTATTAAAATCATGTTTCATTTTATTACTATGCATGTTTTCAACAAAAACAAAGCACAAATAGTTATATTTTTATCAGATACAAAAAAAGACACACACTCATACCCGGAGCACTAAAACGAAAATTCTTGACGTTACCCGACGTCAAAAGCTTAATACGATTATATGTAACTTTTCTCAACATAGTCACCATTTAACTAAATACATTTCTTATGTCGCTTTAACCAGTCATAAAAATGTGCACAAAATGTTCAGGTTTCATACGTGAAATAATATTTTAAAATGCCTGTCTCATATCCTGCAATCATCCAACCTCCGTCCGTGTAAAACGATTTTATTTACGGAAATACGGCACGTTGTGAAATTCATTTTTTCCTTCACACATGTCATCCTGTAAACTGTACCTTCTGTCCGAAAATATTATATGGCTCTTAAATACTAATAAACAGCTTCTTTAACTATGTTTTCCCGATTGTTTACAGAATGTATTGGTCTCTGTAGGTGTTTTTCCGATGTCTACGCAGAATTTTATCACTGCTCACTGCTTCATCTATTCCGAGAACGTCCATTTTTTTTTAACAATTCCGATCCTGTCTTAATATGTTCTAACTTTGATTGCTCAGCCATTTTGAGACTTTGAACGTTCAAATTTTGCATGTTTGATGTGAACACTTCTGTCAAACCAATAATGTAAAAGTCAGCAAGATTTCTACAGAATTTTATAAAATAAAAATGTAATTTATAAAAATAAAAAAAAAATTTTAATCAAAATTTTGCGGTGCTCTGGGTCTCCTTTCCAAGTCTAATTATGAAGCCATAATTGTAATTACACATTTGAAATTAAATAAAATTTTACATTTTTCAATTCATATTAAGTAAAGGATTAAAAATATGTTAATAATAAATATCAATGACACAACTTTATTTAATTTTTATCTTGTCCACGAACATTACGGACAACCCTCGTATATACCCATTCATATTCATATATAAACACATTTTAAATTTCACAACAGTGTGATGAATTCAAAGATAAAATTGTCCAGGCAGTTATCGATGGACTCACTGGAGATGAAATTTGCAAGGTTATTAAACTTTGTGACGGTAAGCTATTAGACGATTAGCAATTAGATTTTTTTATATCATTGAGCTTTTTCAATAAAAACGGAACTCGTAAATCCACTTACCTAGTCATTGGTCATTTGCAAAATTATTTTGTGAAAACACATTCTGATTGCACACACAAATAATCTGAAGTCTCACAGCATAAAAAAGGATAATTGAGTTTCTGATTGGCAATATCTATGTGGATTTTGGAGACCAGGTCTTCCAACAATCTAATGGAATTCCTATGGGTACCAATTGTGCTCCATTAATAGCAAACCTGTTTTGTATTCATATGAAGCAGACTTTACGCAAATTCTTATGCAAGAAAAGAAGGACACCTTCGGCCTTCAACTCGACATTAGATATATCGACGACGTATTGTCAATTAACAATGGTAATTTTCATTCCTATGTCGATGTTATATATCCTGGTGAGCTTGGAACAAAAGATACCACAGAGTCTGACAAATCTGTTTCATATTAAGTTATTTTATTTGAAAAAGACGTTCATGGTAATCTAACAGCCGAGCTTTATGACAAACGAGATAACTTTAACTTTTCAATCGTTAACTTCCCTTACTTGTGTAGCAATATACCTTCATCACCTGCATACGGAGTTTATATATCTCAGTTGATTCGATACGCAAGAGCATGCTCTACATATGAACAATTTCTAAAACGAGGTAAATTATTGACAAGAATTTCAGCTGTCTCATTCAAAGTCATCATTTTGTAAGTTCTATGGTCGATACAATGACCTTGTTAGCAAATACTATACAATTATTGCTGTTTTCGGGCGAGGTGAATATTGTACTTCGAAGATGGCTAAATCATTGTATTGACCTCAAAAAACAGCAATAATTGTTTTATTATATGATTCACTGATAAAATGATAAAGCCCATTACTTGTTTGCATTTAATTAAGTCCTAGCCAAATACAAAAGAGAAGCAGAATCAAAATGTAAATAAGCCTTACCAGTCGTATCAATTTGAAGTTTTTTATCAATTTTAGTTGCCATGAAAAAAAAATATAATGTCAGTCTTTTTTGTAGGATAGATTTTGAAAGGAAGGAGTATTATCAGGGAAAACTGACTGCCAAAAAGTAAAAATTGTTGTTCAGTAAAAGTGTTGGAGGGGTGTCCCTGCATCCCCTCTTACCACCCTCACCCGAAAATATATATTCGCTTATGTTTTGTTCACATGAAAAAAAAGTCATAGTCGTTTAAATAGCTTTCCAAAACAATTTGTATCAATTTGGAATTTCCCGATCTATTTTTAGATCAATGTAAAGGAAATAAATACTTTTATTAACCTGGAACGTCACGTGCAGGTCAATACAACGTAGTATTTTTCTAACAATGTTGGATCTCAGCCAATCAGAGAGATGGAAATTATTCAATCATATAATAAAATTTATTATTGAGTCAAATGCTGATTAATGTTTTTCATACTAATTGTTAGTCCATTATTTATACACTGACATGACGACGGATTGTTCCGTTATTACCCCATTATGACAGAGAGCACACGGCGGGTGTGACCGGTCGACAGGGGATGCTCACTCCTCCATGGCACCTGATACCACCTTCGATGTTTTGGAGGTCTTTGTTTGCTCTGCTTCTATTTTGTATTCTTTGATGGACTTTGATATTGAATAGTGTTTCTTATCTCAAAATACTCCATGTACTATAAATTACTTTGAACTTAACTCATGTGAAAACTCAAGTTCTGATCTTATTTGGCAGATCGTTGGTAAACATAGCTCATTTTTTGATTAATTTCAAGAAGTATTAGATCAATTACAACATGTTTTTCACAAAGCATGCTTGGGTGAAGGAGATTCAATGCTTAAATGAAGGACAGCACTCTACGAAAAGACATAATAACTAGGAATTAGTGAAAAATCAATGGAATCAATTTGAAATCTATATATCGTGAACCAGAAAAATTGAATATAAATGAAACATCATTTTATAGCATAGGTTCAAGTTTGTTCAAATCATGACCCCCAGGGGTAGGACTAAGTGTAAAATGGTGATCAAAGTTTCACATAAGAATTTTAAAGGTGAAAAATCGTAACATTTCCCTCTGAAGAACATATTAAAGTTGTCATATTTATCTGGGAACATCTCCGGCTTGCAAATTCCAAGTCCGTTTAAGTCATGGTACCTGGGGGTAGGGTAAATCCAAGATTTGACAGCAAAGTTTAACATTTTGGTTACATCTTATTACATCTTACCGAGAATTATTAATTCTTTGAAATGTCATCATATGCAGGTGAAGGGCTTTAAAGGGGCATGGACACAGTTTCAGCTAAAATTTCAAAATTTATTTTTTCATTTTTACAGATATTTAACTAGGGTCTTTCTAATGATCATCAAAAAATTGAACGCCAGTTGTCCAAATACAAGACAGATTTAGAGCTCCAAATCTTTATGTAAACAAGGCTGGTGTCATGTTTTTGTTTACATAGGTTAATATTATAATATATGTTCGTTCAAAGTAGATAATTTCAAATAAAAGTTAATTTTAAATACAATTCGACAGTTACTATTGATTTGCTGAACTTCATTTTGTTATAAATATGATATTTTCTATATGTAAACAAAAGCAAGGCACGAACCTTGTTTACGTTATGAAGGACTTTAAGTTCTGTATCTTGTTTGTTAATCAACAAATGATGTTCAAATTTTTGCTAATCAATAGATAATGCCTTAGGTAGGCATTGTAAAAATTGAAATTGTTTTTTAAAAAATCAGTTGAAACTGTGTCCAGGCCCCTTTAAGATTTGACGTTTACACGCCATTAAGGGCAAATGAAGGGCGAGGGCTCTTTATCTTGCCACACCTACCGTGACACCGCAGCTCGATTTATAATGTCTCTTTCAAAAGATTTGTGACCTCTGCTTCAAGTCCCGGGGGTTTTGCGAAGGAAAAGTCCCTATCTCTATTTATATCCATGGTTTAACGCAGCGCCAGAAAATAGAACCAAACAAAGTACCTCCATATCACGAATCGAGGGATGGAGGCGATATATAGTCTACATATAAAAAAATATATAGGACAATTTTGTTAAAAAATCTTCTCAAGAACAGCACAGCCATTGTTATTAATCAAATTGATTTGGAAACATTCTTTCAATAAAATCTTCTCAAAAACAGCACAGCCATGGTTAATCAAATTGATATGGAAACATTTTTAGTCAATAAATATTCAAATTATCTAAAATAATTCTGGTGAGCGTTATGACTCATGGAATTTTTGTTTCAATAAATAAAACATAAAATAAATGTATGGGGAACTATATTCATAGGTTCCAAACCTGAGGATGATTTTTCACAAGTCCCTGTTCCACAAATCGAAGAAGCAACTAATGAAGTTGGGGTAACGTATAAATTATGCATCAATTTATAATTATCTAAATCAGATCATTTGACATTTCATTATATTGGAATATATGCAGCCATGCAGTCTTATTTGTAAACTTTAAAATTAGAAATGGTCGTATGGTGGGAAAAAATGCAGTAGTCCCTTTTATAAAAACAATTTACTTTAAAATGAATAAGGTTTTGGTCTGTTTCTTTTCACGAATAGCCAGGAGATGGAGGAAAATTTTGTGACATTTGTGAAATAATCATGGGAATTATAGAAACACAAGCCACCATGAACAGAAGCGCTAAAGCAATAAACGACACAATATACACCATTTGTCAATTGTTTTCACGTGACGTCATGTTAGTAGTAAGTACATGTAGCTTTGTGATGTTTTTTTAGGATCTTAAGTGTGAACTCTGCACGATTCTCATTAACCTGTTAGACGACATGCTTGCGAGGAATGCCACCATTGGCAATATAAATAACACGGTGTATTATATTTGTGATCAACTTCCGGCTGACGTTAAATCATCAGTAAGTTTTGATATTTTCTCCAGTTAAAAAAAATTATTATACTCTCGGCCATAAACAAATACCGGTAGTAGAAGACAAATGAGAGTCATATTGGTATTGTCGGAAATGACGTAACAATTTTTGAAACGTATGTTAATTTCTCTAGTTACATTAAGTTTGGAAGTCCTTGAAAATTCTTTTGCATTATGAAAAGAAACTTTTAAAGAGCCTTTTTTCCCCTTTTCTTAATAAAAAAAAATAATAATGATAAATGTGTTATTTCCTTCTCTTTTGACTTTATTTAACAGTGTGACCTAATTGCACCAACAATAGTTAAAAAGATAGAAGGAGGATTTGACCCAACAACAGCTTGTAAAGATATAAAACTGTGTACACAAAGTTTTTCAGGTAATATGTGCATATCGCACTAAAAACAAATAATTATTTATTTTACCGGTCGGTAGGGGATATTCCCTTTTCCATGGCGCCTTTACCACCTCTGATTTTTTGGAGGGTTTTGAGTGTTCTGCTCCAATATTGTAATTTAATGGACTTTAAGCTTGAATACTGTTTGTTTCATAAATTGTCTTGTATATTTTCATAGGTGGAGAATATATACAACAATAAGTTGAAAATTTTGCCTCGGTTATAATAGGAAATACCTTTCTTGTAAAACAAATTTTGCGATACAATAGTTTACAAAGTAAGTTTAATTTTAACTGGATTGTTACATTTGAAGGTGTTGTAGATGAAGCCTTGGAGAATATTGCCAGCAAAATCAAAGAACAAAACGCGGAAAAGAAAATAGCCGAGGTAACTAAAATAAATCGTAAGAAAAAAATTGTTTTATACTTGCATTGAAAAAAATACTCCATTTTTTTACATTTCGATTTTCCTTTTTTTGTTGCAGGATGCAAAATGTGAGCTCTGCGAATTCCTTGTAAATATAATAGATCAGGAACTGGGACAAAATGCTTCATTTGACAAAATAAACAACACCATGTACTCACTTTGTAATCTACTTCCAACCGGCATTAAAGCAACAGTATGTAAATCAATCTATGGAATAAATCCCTCATTAAAATCACTTCTTCTCAAGTATTGTAAACACAAGCTGGGAATAACTGATCATGATAGGAATTCCTGACATTATTTTGAAATTTTGTTTGTTTTTCAAAAATGATTTTTTCGTAAAAGAAAATACTACATCTCTTCAAAAAGCAATGGCAATAAATGTGAAATCTACGCGTGCTAATTTATCCTAAATTGATATGTAATATTCATTTCTTTTTCAAACTGCTGGGATTTCCATGATTTCTATGTGATATTGCTTCTTTGTATGTCTACAGTGTGAACTTATAGCACCGACAATAGTAAAAGAACTGGCACAAGGTCTTAATCCACTGAAGACTTGTGAAACATTGAAGCTTTGTACGAATGGAACAATTTGTACGTATCTATCTACAGACCAAACATAAAGAATAAACGCTTTACACTCGTAAAACTCAGCATGTATATATCTAATGTTATTGGCATTATTTCAAACCCACAAAATATTGCTGAAATAATATATATTTTATTTTTCCCTTCCTTTAATAACCTGCACTTATAATTCTTGATCGAAGTATGCTGGAAGCATCTGAAAGAATTCCATATGACAATGACAATTCTGCAACTGTTGTATGATTATAATTTACATTGTGTTTTCTTCAAACAAAAAAGCAATGAAAAATTGGGATAAATGACAATTTAAAATATAAAGAATTCGATATCCATGATAACTTCAGATACAGGACTAATGGAAGGATTCCGGGAACATGTTTCTAAAATAATGAGAGGACCCTCTGCAATATCGCCTCAGGTATAGGTTTTTTGTTTACAATCCCCCAAAACAAGGTGCAATGATTTCTTTATGAATGAAATAATTTAGGAACTGACATATTATGCTCACTTGTTTATCTTTCTTTCTTCTAGGACGCAAAGTGTGAACTTTGTGAATTTCTAGTAAAAATAGTTGACCAAGAACTTGGACAAAATGCTTCTTTAGAGAAAATAAACAGTACTATTTATGGTCTTTGTAATCTCCTACCAGCTACAATCAAGGCTACGGTAGGTTATGAAAATATTTTCTACTTTTTTTCATACCTATTCATTTCATTTCAATTGAATCTTATACAGACGTGTATCTTGATTACTTAATAAGCACTAAAACCATTGTTCAAAACAATGTTCCATTGTGAAGTGTATGACGTCACGTAAAAATCAGGACAAAAATAAACAAAAAAAAAACAACAAACATACAAAACAAAAACATTGGCATATAGATGACTTTTAAACAATATTTACAGTCCTTTTGTATATCTTGTAAATCATTGTATGGTTAACTGACGTTTCATTGGTTGAGAGATTGAATTTCCCACCAACAAACTGCTGTGCGGTTTGTTATTCAATTTTCAACCATGAACATTTTCACCCCTACTAATGTTATTGTGATTTAAATTCAAGACACGTGGTTTAGGTTACCTATTCAAAGGTTATGGGTAGAACCGGTTTTATAAATAATATTGGCAGTAAACATGAAATTGCTATAGTCTGTTTCTTCTGAAAACATGCCCTGTGAAAAATGTGTTTTCATACCTTTCTGAAAGACTTTCATGATTTTGAACAGAAATGGGTGGCTAAAGGGGAGGGGGGGGGGGGTAAATAAAAATTAATACATCTTTTCATGGCTTACTGCAAAAATCACAGCTTAAAAGCTACCAATACGCTGGTAAAAAAAAGATGTAATATCATCTACACTGACATACCTTTTTTTGCCTTATATGGCTATTGCTATTAATGCGCACGGAGGATCTTACCACGAGCAACTGACCATGCAATTGTTGATTGAATACGTTTACGCCAAATACATGTTAACATGTTACTTCGAACACGTGGTTCAGTCAATCTATGATCATGTCAATGGAATGCAAAATAAAAAAAAATGTCCTTATGAACAAAATGCAAACATTAAAAATCATGAAAGATATCACAGGGCTCATGGGCGTTTTTAATTTGTTGTTAACTAGAGAAAAAAATGTTTTATAAAATGTAAACGTAGTTAGTGTCAAGTTCAGAACACCAGCACTTCAAGGGTATGGAAAACGAGCAGCTTCTCGTGTGCATTTTTATGAACAAAACATTTATTAGGCTGTCTGAAATTAAAACTATGTTTAACGTCACCCGCGCGCGTAGGTTTTGGAGAAAATCGTCTTTGAAAAAAACAAACAATTCAGAATTCCGTATCTCCGTTCCGCTTTGGTTCTACATTTAGCGACTCAATTGTGCATCCTGTAGTGACAGAAAATGTGCTTTGATACCTTAGTAGATGGTGTTTGTGTTTTATTAAAAGAAAAGGAGTGAATTAAACAGTATGGGATCATAAATGTAAGTAAAAAATAGATGTTTTATGATTGAAACTAATGAAAAAGTTTATTTTGTTGATTTTTTTGTCAGTCTTCGAATCTCATGTACCATGTGTACAGAATGTGACAATGTTAGACTCAGTTCGTGATTATTTTGGCTGAACTTTTCATCGTAATTTGGAGAGAATCGAGAGACTTTACTGAGTGCAAGATGTGTAAAAAAAAATTATATACAGTGAGATGCATCATTTGAATTTTATTAAATATTTCAGTCTGTAAAAATTTAAAGGAACAGTAATCAGGTAATGAGTAAGGTAATTGATTTCTTCATAATTCATGTACCTACAAATAGCTACATGTTTTTGGAAAGATAATACTAGTCACTGCCATTTGAGCAGGGAGAAGCTTACAGAAGATAGTGTCTTTCAAGTGAAGGAGAAAGTGGTCGGGGTATTTTAAGAAGTGAAGAACCCTGTCCTGTGTATGGAATTCAAGGTATTTAGAATAAACTACATGTAATACACTTTCAAAACTAAATTCTAATAGAGAAAAAATACAACATAATTCAATTTCAAGATATTTCTATGTAAGAATGTATTAAATATTGTCATCATAATTTTTATTGTAGATATTGATCAACTATTCCCACAAGAAGAAGCATTTCCTTCCATGGATTTGAGGCAATATAAATCCAAAGGACAACCAAGGCCTAGTTAAAAGCCACTTTCCTGCACATTCAGTCTACATTGTTTGCTCACAAAAGGACTCAAACAAATTAACATTCTAAGGAAAAACTCTGCCAGGAAAATTAAACTTAGGTGTCATATCCGATACTCTTATTACTCAGTTGTAGTTTTTTTTAATGTACTGAATAGGTTTATTTGAATAAATTCACAATTGTTTGAAATTTTTGTTTGTTTATTTTTTTCTTCCCTCCCTCGTAGGTTTTGAACTTTGGAGGTGACGTTAAACGTAGAATTAACTTTGAACAGCCTTACACAACTATACTCGTGATCACGTGTGTTGACCGGGGAATCTACCTGACAATTGTATCAGGTCGAGACCACTAGATTTTCTGACGTCAGAATAAATTTGCATGTAAATTAGCTATCTGTTTACTTTACCCACTGATGAATGAGTCGCAATGCATTGTGGGCTACTACAAGTACTCAGCTGTGTTGAAAATGAAGGCCAGCTTGAATTGTCCCTGGGAAACTTATTTTCAATTCTTTTTTGAAATTTATGGAAGAAATATATAAAATGATGTATAATCTTTCATTTCTATGCTCACATTTACAAAATTTGCTTTATGAAGCCTTATATATCGACTTATAATACATCGGCCTAAACCATTGTTCGAAGAGACGTACATGTAGGTGCTATCGTGTTGATAAAGCATTGAGTGTTTCACGTGATATACGTGTACATAGTTTTAGACAGCAGTACAAGGTGCGCTATTATTATTTAACCCCTAAATATTATCAAAAAGTTTTTTAATGTACATGCAAACATAAAAGCGTTTGCACACTATTCGAACTTTCGATGCAACTATTAATCATATAAAACAACTCCAATATTAAATGTGAGCATGGAGCAATTTATTGGGAATGTAATCTTTCAATTTCGGATTTAAAAAGTGACAAAGAAGCTCTACGGTTTTTCCGGTGACGAAGTGAATATTGTGCAGAAATCGGCGAAAACCACCTGTCGCCATCGAATCGTAAACAAGTAGTAGAGTGTCATGCTTTCGGACTCATTCACTTGATTGGCGAACGGGTGTGACGAAGGTTTCGTCACGTGTTGAAAGTTGCCTTCCATATAAGGTAGTGGTCTCGACCTGTGTATTCACCGATAGTATTATACAATAAAGGAATTTATCAAGCGTAAAATTCCTGTAGTATTCGTAGTAACCCATAATGCAATTCTCATTCAGCTGATTTGTCAGTTAAAGGTCACATTGGTGCCTCATTGGCTAATCTGACGCCAAAAATATAGTCCTGATTCCCATGCAAACTATTTGTCCAAAAAGAAATTCTAATTCACGACAGCAGAAAATTGTATCATAGAGAATACTTATTTAAGTTTGAGTGAATTGAAAAGAAATCGATTCAAGTACATTTCCACAGAATGATATTATAGGGTGGTGAAAACTAAAACGCAACATAGCTTTTCTGTTTACCATGTCTCCACGTGCTAGTCACATTCTAGCCACATTTCCGTGAATAATTTACCCTATCTCGCTGAAGTCTCGCTAACTCTCGCCAGAGCCACTGTCAGAGCTACTCTGAACTCATCGGGTTTTATAATTTGCAGAACACCGAAAAAGAAATGGTTCCGAACACATCAGTAGGGGTGATTTTATCCTAGAAAGGAAATGGTTTTCGTAGAAACGTAACAGTTGCCTTAGCGCTTAACATATCCAGATCGAGATAGGGTTTTTCATCCTGCAACCTGTGTTTTCAGTAATTTAATTAGATGTCACTACCACTAAAACTATACAGTGGGCATTCGCAATTATTATATTCACTTTAAAACTAATAGAAAATGGTTGCTCTAGTTTGGTGTATGAGTTCGTCAACTTTGATGTCTGTGCGTTGTTTTCACTTGTACATTTGTTCATCGTAGGCCTTATTTTTCAGTATGCTCACAACCGGTTAGAAAAGCCGGATTTTGTCAAGACATTATCAGAAACATTTATACGAACCGAATCGACTGGCCTCCGTGAAATTTTTTCTTCTTCTTATCTGGGAGACTTGGGTTTTTAAGCCGTGAAAATACCTCCAATCACTCTTGACCAGTCAGGACTGTCCTGACAAAAGGATTGAATAATATCCCTATGAAAAAGATAAATGCATTGATGAATTCCATGCAAAAGAGTATCATGGCTGCATGTATGTCAAGCGCCAAAAAACGAGAAATGTTATTTTCATTTGGGAGGGAGTGGGGTCATATGAATTTAAAATATTTTATTAATTGTCAATCAAAAACAAAAAAAACAGATTGGTTGCTTGGAAAAATCAAATAAAGCATTAAAAAATTTTCATTTAGTTTACTATCAGCTAACTACAGATTATTACAATTTGAAGACGTCAAAAGACAACTTCGTATTGGATATATTGCAGAGGTCTTCATTTATTTTTTATTTTTTGTTTTTGCTTTGTTTTTTGTTTTTTGTTTTTTTTTTTTTGCTTTTATTTATCATATTTATATCATATTTATAAACTTTTGGGTGTTTCAATCTGAGAATAACAATTTTTTGGTTTTTGTACTGTAAATTAAATAAGGAGGAGAATCTTAAAAATAACCATTTCTTAGACAGGAACTCAATATAACTGGATTTCTTTTTAGTTGTTGTGCCCCGTTGAGGTCAATAAATAAATGTAACAGCGTTATCGTAATCAAATGAAAAAGAATTTATCTTTATTTTCAACATACGTGTTAGTTTTTTCCTTAAAATGATTTGGTACAATCGCGCTCCACGCACACCTGTTCCGAATGCCTTGAAAAGCTACTGAATCCTGAATCTCAGTAAAATATATGTACATGTATGTGAAATGATTGAACATTTTGGAATGTCCGTTCAGAATAGCCTTTTCTTTTCTATTTTTTTTCTTTTTTTTTTTCTTTTGGTTCAAATACATGAACGCACACACGAATCTAGTGCTTTGTTTTCGTATGAAAAACTTTATTGTTGAAAATTTTAAATAACATTTCACAGGTTGCAATGATAAAATCTGTGTTATTTATTTCGGTTAACATTTAGGAAAAAGTAAAAATTTGATTGGTCATTTTAAGCAAATATGTTTTGCTATTAAAATAACTTAAGGTCAGATGATACAAACAAACTTTTGTCACAGAATTTAAAAAAAAAAACAAGTTGGGTCATGTTTAAATGTGTAAAATGAATAACTTTCACCGGGTAGTTTTTAATTTTTTATTCAAATTTGTACAAAAATGGAATTTTAAGTGAAAAATATTTGTATAGATTAATAAGGATGGTTTCAGAAGGGCATACCTTTGAACATCACAGAAGGTTTACAATTTCTTTATTTTCTAGAAATTTATTATTTGCATTATTTCCAATGAAATTAGGCCAAAAAATATATACCAATCCATGCATCCATTTTTTGTTTGTATCATCTGTCCTTAATAGGATTTTGGCTGTTTTCTTATTCTACACTTATACATTAAAAATATTTTGAGTTTTTCTTTGATACTGTTATCAGGGTTGTTAGGATTTCATTGGCTGAGGTGGAATTGGTTTATTCATACAAGTACAGGTAAACAAGGGTTGTCCCCAAAACACGTAAAGAAGCGTACTTTTATTTTAAAAAATCAACAATAATTAAAACATTAAACACAATTATTGAGTAATTACACTAAAACCCTATTTAAATATAATACTTCATTATCTAATTTAATATATACTTATGAATTACAATGTTTGATATTCAAATCTTATTCAAATAAGGCAGATATTAAAATAAAATCTTGATATTCCATTACACTGTAAGCAAAATTTTCCTAGGTTTATTTTATATACCGTGATAAAAATGATTTCAGAAAGCATTATTTGCACCAATTTGAAATACAGTTTACCAACTTTTATCCGCGACGACTTTATGTCGCAACTGACCAGGAGTAAACAAGTTCGCGATAGTTAATAGAGACTTTAGGACAGTTCGCGATGATGAGGTTCTCGCAAACCTCGAAAAATATATTCACACGCGAATAAAAGTTGGTTTGCAGTCTGACTTGTTGGGAAATTGCTACTATGTGGACACAGGCGGCATTCGGAATTGTGATCAAATTTTCTGAACTTCAATTCAGTGCTACAGACACGTAGAAGTAAAACGTATTATATTGTACAAAGGGGAGTGGATTTTAGTCCTTGATGTGTTAAAATAACGACTGTGTACATGCATATAAAGCAACGAAACTAATAAAGAGAGACCGAATGGAAAGACGGATGAAAAAAACCCAGAGAGCAAGGGTTTTCTAATTATATTATTTTCGGCAGAAAAATATACCCGTCCCTTCATTATTATACGGATATTTCAATGTAAAATCATACTTTACACATTAACGAATTTGATTGTTATATCCAAAAGACAATCCAAACCGGTGATATTAACGATCTTCATCGCCATCATCATAATCATTAATATCATTTTTATTTTTTTTTTAAGCTATAACGATTACTTGTACATGTAGCATTTTGTAAACATGTATTTTTTTTTTACATTTTGATTGAATCTGTTTTGTCAAATCCTAAAGTGATACTTGTCGTCTGCAGTGCAATCTTGTAGCGCCATCTATAGTCTCAGAGCTGGCCAAAGGTCTGGATCCACTGAAAACTTGCGAATCAGTGAAGCTGTGTACAAACGGATCTCTGAGTATGTCATATTACTAAATTAAAATGTAAAAAATTGATTATAATCAAACCCTTACAGTAGTTGTAATACTCTATTAATCTAATGTCTTTTTATATATATACCGTAATTTTATCGGAATGCCTAAGATTTTGATTTTAAAGGGAACTAAAATAAACCAGTATTTCTTATGGAATACTCTCAGAATATTTGTGAAATTTGACTCCCATTTTACATAAAGTTGTAGAAAGGGAAATACAACAGATTTGTTTTAAATTCGGCTTTAAACAATAAAAAGCAATGACAAAAAAGAACAACAACAAAAATTGAGTTCTTTCCCTAACACTGATAGTAACATTTTCAACAGACGTTTTGTTTGGGGCAGGTTTCGTTGAAATTGAAAAATCCGAAAAAGAATTCATCTCTCAAGTAGAACAAATAAAGGTAAGAATTCTTCAAACATTTCATTTCAGTAATTTTTTAATTACTGAATAATTAATTAGGAATGTTGTGTTTCCATGTGTTTCCACATGTTTTAACCACAAATTAATTCATGATATTTTACCTGTGTCTTACGATATATATATGATCACTGTCAAAATATTCATGATTCTCACATGATTCTCATATGCATGGCCTTTCATACGTAATTCATATGTATATAACTTCACATGATTTACATATGTGTAATCATATGATCCACTTATGATTTGCCACATATGATTCTCATATGATTGTTTATCCCGCTTCAGACAAATTTGTCGATTACTGATTGGATAAAAGCTAATCACATGACGCCCTGAAATTTTCCGTTTTACATATTACGTCTCCGTCGAGGCGTGTTTCGTTCGAAGCGTTGTTATTGTAAATAAAAATGGCGGCTAAGAAACGGTTTACGTAGGTAGTTTAGTTAAATTTCTTGTTATCTTAACGATATTTTATGTTGATTGTTATTGGATTAAAACTAATATTTTCATAATATGCACAAATATTTCTTTCATATTGAAAAAGGTCTTCAGCGGGATAAATTCGTAACACAGTCAGTTAGTGACCTAATACGGATTCATACAGGGTGTGAAATGGGAATCCTTATCCTGCTTCGCCTCGCCCAATACGGATTTCCATTTCACACCCTATGAATCCGTATTATATAACTGATAAAAAACATTTGATTCTCATATGATCCACATACATGTATGATCCTCATATAAAAGGCAATGCATATGTGGATTATACTAGTATATAGCGAAATTTCCTAGTCTTTTGATAGAGTACTAGTATGGCCTTAAAATTTTATATATAAATTTTATTAGGATAGTCCTGCGTGTGAAGTTTGTGAGTTCGTGGTTCAGATCGTGGACGAATACATAAAGAGTAATACCTCAGGGGAGAGCATCAACACCACGGTCTACAAGATCTGTGCGCTCCTCCCCGAACCTGTTAAAGATTTGGTATGCTTCACATTCTATTTTAAGGGAAAAAACAGAAAAAGTAGTATTTATCATCTAACTTATACGATGTTTTTCAAATAAATATATCATAATTATTTATGTATAAGAATAATGACAATCACCTTTTCTTCTTTTTAAGTTAAAATATACTGTTTATATAATACAAAAACATATCTGTGCCAGGGAAAAACCAACTTATAAGAAGCTAAAATATGAATAGTTTTTCTTTCTTTCAATCATTACAATTATCAGATTTTCCTTTAATTGCAAATTGTAGTTTTTTTTCAAATATAGAAGGGTTGAATTCAAGTAATTCTTTAAAAACTCATCTCTGGTAAATGATCATTAATATAGTGCAATACAGCAGCGCCGAATATTGTGAAAACCATTGAAGATGGAGTAGATCCGAAAAAAGCATGCACAGAAATTAAACTTTGCAATAACGGTAAGTTAATTTTGAAAAACTAAGTATATAAATCCAAATTTCATTACAAGATATAAGATTTGCGTACATGAGTATCTAAAGGTATCTAGATTTAATACAACATTGATTTTAATGTTCATTATCAACAACCATTTTAGGGACCTATTCTGTGACCCTGACATTACCTGGTGTGTCATGTGAAATGTGTCATGGAATGGTGGAAGCTGTTCTTCCTCGACAGTTTACAGAACAAGTAAAAGAATTAATGAGAAATAGAGAATATCTGTGCCTAACAAACCCAGTTTCTTTAAAACGTCCAATAATAAAAATTATCAATATTTACTCAAAATTACTTCAAAGAGATAAATTAAGGTAAGAAAGAGAATGCTAAAATTCAAAACTAGAGATAATGATATGGTCTGTTGTTTTGCAGTTGGCCCTTAGACTGTGCGAGGTCACGTGTCCACGTGAACACGTCAGACATAGAAGATCAGTGGTGAAAAAATCCTCACACTTTGTTTCAGATCTCATCAATAAAGAAGAGGAAAAGTTGAAAGTTGTAAGATTTTTTTTAATTTACAAGTGTTCCTTTAATGTTGAACTACTAGAATTTTTTTTTTTGGTGTCGAAGTGATTTAAAAAAAAAGAAGATAAGTTTGTGTTTTTGCTGGTTAACGTCCCTCTCGAGAATTTTAAATTCTAATGAGAGAATATATACAAACATGGCAATAGTAAAGACTAATAGAAAAAGAGAAAATATTTCTTCAAAACAGAAGAAGAAAAGTTATGCTTTTAATATTTTTCATTTACAATTTTCCTCAATTTTTTCAACTTACTTTTATTTCTGGAGTAATTTCAATTGTTCATTCTGATGAGAGAATTTAAACAGATAGGTTAATAATATCAACAAACACACAAAAAAAATATTTTGCAGAATTATCAGAAGAGGGGATGTTTAACAGCTATCTAAAGAAGTGCGATTATTCAATTACAATTCTTTATTTAAATTTTCAACTGATTTTTGTTTTCGAAGTATTTTTTTTTAAAATTGTTCATTCTTCTCATAGAATTTAAGATATTTCCATCCTCAAAGTTTTAAGGGTTCAAAGTAGAATAAATGCATTATTTTCCCTGAATATACATGTAGTTGAAATTAAGTAAATATAGCAAAAAATATAAGTTGCTATATTTCAAGAAGTTAGAATACATTTAACAGCAGTGTATCTCAACATTGAAAATTGTTCATTTTTAGTGAAAAGTATGATAAACGTTTGGGTAAAAACCGGTTAAAATACGTAATTTCGATGATAAAAGTTCCAAAGTAATTTTTACTTTATAAAATACTTGAATTGCGATTATCAGCAAAAGCATCTTACATGAAATCTACAACAAAGAAAATGCCTGGATACACGAGGAGTTATTGCACTTTTTAAAGATTGAATAATTTATTAAATAAAGAAAAATTCATTTTTATGATTTTTTTTTTACTTTTATAATTATTTACATTACATTACATTGAAAAGCATTTATTCTAATAGGTATGAATTTAAGAGGCAGTCCACCGAAAAACCAGGCAGTATTGTATTAATAGGCGGCACATCGAATGTGATGAATATTTGGTATTTTATTAAAAACAATATCAACGTAGTCCAAAAGGAATAATGTAACTGAAGATTTGTTTGATAATTGCTTATTTAGTAAAATATCCTTGTTTTTTGTGTTTTTGAATTCCCCTATATAAACCATTGAAAGTAGGTAAGAAACAAAGAGCTGTAATTTCTAATACAATTTTAACAGGACTATAATTCACACTTAAATAAATCTAGAAATATTTCATCTTTTTGTTTAAAAAATAAAATCATTGGGAAAAACACTTTTAATAGAAGTTTTCTGGCAAAATATATAGACGTTTTAATGAAAATTTGCAATGCAAGAATTATCTCCCGTGGCATCGGTAAATCTGCTAAACACATTTTCATCGGAATCCTAGTGAAATATTTAGAATCGATACACTAAAGAAAATTATTAAACAAAAAATAAATAATGTATTTTCAAAATATAATTCATTTTCGCCTCCAAACATAATATTTAGATTAAAATTGGCTATAATATTCAGGTTAAATCCACGTTTCCATTGATGTATATCAGTGACGTCATAATATTGCGTCACAATGAAATAGTTACAAGTTTTCCAGAGAAGTTCGTAAATTCTTTGCGTAAAGTGTAAAGAAAAATATTTTTTTTAAAAATGATTTCTCTTTTTCTGTTTCATTACTCTTCAGACTGCATTATACTAAATGTAAAATAATATTTTAATATCAAAATGTATTTTACACAGTACACGGGCAGCGTCTCAGCAAGATGACGTTTTGATAAGTAATTTTATACATGTCCAAGAACTAATTGTTTAAAATTGATTTACCAGGATATACGTTAAAATAATCCATGAAGTTTTATAATGAACATTTCTTATAAAATTGGGAATCAATGATGAATGTTTTAGATTTACGCAACATTTATAATTCAACGAAGTTGGTAGATCTAAAAACTAAATACATTTATCTATGCAATCAAATCAAAATAAACGATCTACAGAAAGATTAAAAATGAAAAAAAAAACTGAAAAATAAGTTATAAAAATATATTTATTGAGTTAAATTTACTGCTGAACTCCCGACTATAGTTTGGCACTGTAACGGAAGGTGGTTTAGTTAAACATTTGGTTTTTTTTTTTTTTTTTTTTTTTTGTTTTTTAATTTTATTTATTTATTTTTATTCGGCGATTGAAACAATCACATGCTCATATTTAATATGGAGTATAAACCTGTGACTATATTGACCAATACTAGAATGTTTTCACGTTCATGAAATCAATTTTTAAAAATAATGATGCCATGACCCCGCACCCCCCGTTCCGCGCTTCTTGCTTGCGATTTATCGGCTCTTGAATAAATATACTATACAAGGAAGAACTTATTTTCTTATTTATATAAAATCAAATTTTGTAAAAGAGGAAAAGGCTTTACAGATGACAGGTAAGAAAAAACTTGGATAAAGTCGAGACTGTACACATAAAAATATTTCTTGCATTTCGGCAATTTTAATTTCGCTACTGATAGAATTTACCCTTTAATTCCTGAAGTAAATAAAAAAGAAATTTTACTTGAAAATAAGATGAATAATGAAGCTAGAAAGTTGTCTGCTCTGGTTGTTGCATAATGCATGCACAAATACTTTTTTTTAAAAATACCTAGGATCTATTAAGGTAAGTCACTCCTCAAATTTCTTATATCAAGGATTTTTTGATAAGTATATTTTGGATAAGTACTCATAAAGTGTGACTCAAAATCGCAGAGAAAATAGGGGGTCAGTGTGCATCGTACTGATGTATGGTACATTTAAGTTGACCTTTTTGCACTTAAATTTTAGCCCTTTAGTTTATTACTTTTATTCAATTATCTCTTATTATATTTTATCAGCTGTAACCATGGCAATAAATTTATTCTTACTTTACGTAAAATAATTTAAATAATATTTATCATTGATCAAATCTTGCAAATTCATGCGCGTAAATAATTATGTGACCTTTTTGCACTAAAATATAACATATTTTGGGTATTAGAAAAATAAGTAGGCAATATAATATTTATTTATATCAAGCTTTGTATGACTTAAGTGCTGGTCAGTCATAAGTATCGAGTAGTTTAGAATAATGAAAGAAAAAGTTGGGGTCAGTAATGTTAATTTTGAAATATTGGACAAAATATGCAATTTTCAGGCAAAAAATACTGTATATTTTATCTTGACTTCTTTGATATATCTCTAGTTTTTGGCAAAGTTTGTTGAAGGAAGATGTAAAACTTGTTCTAAAAATATAAATTAAGACCTACATCAAATATTCCTATCAATATCATAACGGAAAATATTCTCCGAGTAAAAGTATGTGAGGCTAAAGTTTCAAGACATTAGATTTAATAAATGTACAGATTTGCAGAAATTCCTGCTAAATATCCTTCCACCACGAAAAATAGTCCCTAATAAATCTTGCTTCTTTGAAGATTTTTGAGCAGTTTTTTCTTTGATTGTTAAAAAATATACATCGTTGAATATAATTATTTTATAAAAATTGAATTTTAATAAATATTTTTGAAGTTAGAGGTTCTGCGTGAACTTTTCTAGAAAGCTGACGAGTGACTTACCTTAAGAAATCATTAAGACAATCATATCAGATGTTTTACTTGTAATCTTCATGTAAGTAAAAGATATTGGTAATTTAAATAATACATACATTTGAATCTATGGTTACACTCATTTAAAAACAGTAATCTGACTGAAAAGAAATAACAGACAAGCATTTTTTCTGATAAAATAACATGAAGAGCCAAATTTAGGAATTTTTTTAAATTTATGGTAAAAACCGATCCCGATTAAAATAAAACCGATCCCGATCGAAAATAATGCAAAATTAATTAATTTATCAAACAAAAGGCAACTGCCACCTATATAATATGTTAAAAAAATAAATAAAGAAATTTCTTAATCATATTACAACAAAAGAGCCAAATTAGACATTGCTATTTTAGTATTTTCTTTTTTATACAATTCCGGTCGGGATCGGTTTCATTTGTGAAAACTATAAAAAAAAATAAGTAAATTTGACTCCTTTTATTTCTTTCAAAATACCTTTTCCCAATGATTTTATTGAATGACCTTAAAGTTTGTACTTTGTATTCATAAAAAAATAAGTAAACAAATATGTCCTTGTATTGTATTGGGTTTTATAACGTAATTAAAATTGGATACTGAATTTAAACATTTACCTGCTAAACTCAAATTTGGACCAGATATTTTTTTCTGAAGAAGTATAAATTGGAGTCTTATTCATCATAAAATAAAAGATAAAAGTCTATTATATAAATAATATTCATTGGCACATCCACCTCTGGAGTATCTGTTACATATAAAACAAAATAAAAACGTAGTATTTTTTTACCCTCATGTTGACCTTTTTGCACTTAAAATTAAGCATTTACCAAAACTAGGACTAGAGGAGCACTATGAAATTTTTTGATGTTGTCATGTGTAAACATTTGCTTTAATAAGTCTACATGCAAAAAATAATTAAAATCCATGACATGCGATGTGCCACCCATTGCCTGGTTTTTTGGTGGACAGCCTCTTAATAACCTTTTTTGTTTAAAAAAAATACCTTTAACATCACAGGAGATAGGAAATGCCTTAAACAGTTACCTTAATAAAATACACATACAAAACAAATAAAGAAATTTAATTTTCTCATTTATTAGGGTGAGGATATTGAATGTGATGTGTGCATTTGGCTTGCAGAAGCTACTAATATTTTCTTAGAAGACAACAAGACTGAAAACACTATTCAAGAATATCTTGATAATATCTGTCGTTTTATACCAGAACCATACAGCAAAACGGTAAGAAAGACAACTCCCGTAATATTCAAGAATTCATCTTATTATTAAAACTTGGTCTCTTAAAAGGAAGCACTACCACATACAATTAGTACAGGAATATTAGAAGGGTTTTTGTGTCTTGCTTACAGAATATTTTTTTCTGGGTTTTATGTAGCTTTCTTGTTATGTTATTTGTGCCTTTTGGAAATTAGATCCGGACATGATAAATAATCATTATTAATATTTTCACAAATAACTCTTATAGTGCTTGAACACGGTGCCTTTGATCATCAAGGAGTTAGAAAACGGATTTGAACCAAAGAAATTATGCAAAGAAATAGTTCCAGAGGATTGCAAAAATGGTAAGAACTTGTTCAAACCGGTAATTTATAGCTTATTTATTTTTTTGTACTGAAATGTGTCATCTTCATCATTTTAAGTAACATTTTAAATTATGAAATGGTTCCATAAACCAGTTAGAATTAAACGTATGCTTTTTCAACCCTTATCACAATTTTTAGTTTAAAGTATATTTTATTCATAGAAATGGATTGAACAGCAGGCATAAATGCCTATGATCGTTCTCTCCATATCACAATTTTTCATGACAAATTAAAGACCGTGATTTTATACATCATGGACGACCAAATCTTTAATGAAAATGGAAATCGGAAATTTTTATATTATATATATATATATATAGTATATTAGTGTTAATTTAAATATATCAGAAAACAACAAAGAATGTTAAAAGAGAAATATAACATATGAAAATTTTTTTTTCTTGCATTATAGTGACTAAAATAGTTGGAGACACACCTGAAGCTCTGATGTCAATGGTCCCCAAAAGTGACCAATCCGATGAGAAATGCGACTTGTGCAAGAAAGTCGTAAAGACTCTTGTAGATTCACTGGGTAAAGATGACGTAAGTTTCTTAATACCAAACACTGATAAAGTTAGATAGTACAATTGTAAATATATATACATGTATCCCGCTCCCAATCTTTAATTATTGAGATATATATTATATATATATATATATATATATATATATATATATATATATATATATATATATATATATGATCGTGTTATGAATTAAATTAGTCATTAAAGAAAAGAAACTATGTTAGAATCTCCATATAAAATGCACATTTTTGTTTTAATTTTTTTTCATATATAAAGATCCACAATGATAATTAACCAATAGAGAATGTTCTAGAAAAAGAGGGTAAAAAAATTTGGACTAGATACTAGGATGTTACCCCTTTCGTAAGGGATTTATTATTATTACAATTATTGTATTTATTATAATATTATTATATCTTTTATTATTATATATTTCAACAATACAGTTTTGTTAATCTATCGTAAAACTTTGAAAAAAGTTCATTGTTTGCTCCTAGCTGTTAAACTCTCCTCTTCCTCGAGTGCGGTTCAAGAAATGCTTTTTTCAACAATTGCAAGAGAAGTAGAGATTATGTATGATGTGTAGCAATTATTTTTCCCCATATTACGTTAGAAAAATTATATATTAATCTTTTTCTCTTGATGTTTTAGTGTTCCACTTTTGTCAAGAAGGAATACTCAGTGATAGTTGGCAAAATCATTCAAAAGCTTTTGGATCCAACGACTGTTTGTGAGATGGTCAATGTTTGTCCAAAGGAGTAACATGAAGAGTGCTTTGAATAAGTGACAATTCAGAAAAAGTTCTAAGAACTTAATTGTATTAATATTTATAAAACATCTATATACTTCTCATCTGCGCATATCATTGTCTTATCTTTGTTTAATAAAAATTGTCACATGAAGAATTGAATTATTGGTTATCTTGAATGATTTTTATTCTGGATTTATCGATGATTGTTTTAATGATCTACGGATATAAGAATGAAGGAAATCCCGGTGAATGGAAGTACAATGTATGTTGATTTTGATATATTTCGCACTATTGCACAGCATTTTATTCAATTTTATTTTCATCATTTTTCATTCCAATATTATCACAAGGATCTTCTATTTTTTCTTTGAAAATATTTTTTAATCGTCCACAGTTGTCGGAGGGGAGGATATAATATTTTAATTTCCTAACATATCATGAAAATGGGCATTTATGAAAGTTTTTCTTTGAGTGTTTTAATGAGTCAGAATTTGACAAGAATCCCTCTTCAAGGAAATCCGGTCCTCAGCTTGGAAGGATATAACTTGGAAGGATAACTCTTTAGTTCATGATTTAATTCAAAAAGTCTCAAAATGAAGATTAATATTAAATTCTTTTCGTCTTTTAAAGTCTCGGTGTGATTTGAAGTAATTAAAATAAAAAAACAAACAAAATTCCATTCATCTAACCTTAGATGCCAATTAATATTACCAAGAAAAAAGAATACATTTAAGTACAGTACAAGTATAAAATTCATATAATTTTCTTCAAAAGCCTGGATACGTGTAATTTTTCTTCATAATATGTATTTGTTTATCAATTTTCAATTAAAAAATGCATGGCAGATGTTTTTGTTTGCAATTTCGGAAAATTTGTTGGAGATTTACTAATTTTCCCTATATGACAACTAAATTTTGAGATGAAGTTTGAAGAATTACCATGGGTAAAGACACATTCAGAGAATTCACGGATTTTAAAGATATTTTTAGGCATTTTCAAATATTCATCGACTGATTTTCAGATCCTAAGGATCAGGTTGCCTTAACACATTATGATTTTTGTAAGGCAAATTTTCCTCACATGGAAAAATAAATTAAATGGATATCAAAAAAACCATTTACAAATTCATTCATTCAGTACAAGGGTTTGTAATGAATTTATGCTGAAATTGAATCATTGAAAAAATGTCAAAATTTTCAACTGCAATTATTTTTGTATAGAGTAAAAATTTATAATTTTCTTATGTTTAAGTTGGGATGATATTCAAAAACCTTCTTTCCTAGGGAAACCAAGTCCAAAGATCATAAACTGAAAACAGATTAAAGTCAATATTTTGATTTTTATTATCTATAGTTCTTTTTATTGTATCTGCAATAATTTCTAACAATCTGTAATAATTTGCACGTACACTGTAAGTAATTTCAAAATTTCAAACATTTGATGAAAATTTTGACTCATCATCAAAATTATTTTGAAAGTTATAGTGGAATGAAAGTTTGACTTATTCTCAGTTTATGGTCTTGGGGCCAGGCCGCATTTAATTCCCCTCTTTACATCTTAATGTTTCAATCTCGGACGACACAATTATTCCTAAGCAGAATTTGTTTTAACCTTTTAAAGGATTTCAATTTTTTTTACTTATTCAGTCATATTTCATATTTTCTCATCAAGAAAATTTTGTCCTTAGACCTAACTATGTTTACAATGAACACGAATTTGACAGGGCATAGCATGCAGGTGTTCGTTGTTTATAGAGTGTGTGGTGAAGATGCGACACACTTGAGTAAATGTGAATTAAATGTAATTGAGAAAAAAATTTAGACTACCGTGTATAAAGTATTAAGCATTTTATAAAAAAAAAATTTATATAAGGATATGGAATTTCATTTATTATCTAACTCTTTGCTGTCTTTCGAGTATTACGTTAAAAATCCATACCACTAAATAAATGGACATTTGATTCAAGAAAATATGTGCACATCCATAATTTGATGTATTGTCTCTTATAACAAATTTGATGAGTTTTCTGATCTAAAAGCTTCAATACTGTTATCGTTTGCCAGTTTCGCCAGATCTTAAGTACCAACAAATCTGTTCAGCGTAATTTAATCGGTTATTGTGTGAGCCGATGTAACATTAAATCAATTTGAAATATTATTCAATACCTTGCGAAAAAATTTAAATGTTGTCTACCGTGTCATCAGATGAATGTATCTTTTCTCTCAGCTGTTACCGACACTGATAATTATTGATCCAGGCTATCAAAATAATTATACATTTCACCAGCTCGCGTAACACGGGCGGGGGTACTCAGCGCATAGGTTGACTCGCGTGAGCATTTCCGTTGTCTCGCGTGCCGCTACAGTCGTCGGCTATAAAATCGCGCGCGTGCGGGGAGTCCCAGCACGTGCCGTTGCATACTAACAACCATTAGACCCTCTATTCCGCTGTTGCCCTAAAATCACGTGAGGTAATGACTCCCCGAACAATCCAGTGACTTCAAATACGGCACGTGCATCAAACGTGGCAAACTGTGTTCTAAGAAAGCGCGGAAGTAAAGAAGATTGCTTTTCGGTGTAGTGACTGCGTCAAAATCTCGAGATTACACTTTATCCTCATTACGCAGAATTTTACAGAAAGAAAATCAACTTTATTTCCAAAGGTGACAGAGGAAGTTAAGCAATGGAAAAATTATGCAAAAAGACACTGGTAAATAATATTATTTTTCTCCAAAACATCAGAGGGGAAAATATTTTTCAGAGTTATATTCTTTATTTTCTAGATATTTATTTTTAATATTTTTATTTGATTTTTTCAGGTTCCAGAGCAGACTTCACATAAAGTGATTGAAAAGAGACGTCGAGACAGAATTAATTCCTGTTTGTCAGAACTTAGCCAAGCGGTCCCTGCAGCTTTTTCTAAACAAGTAAGTTATGTCATCCTCTATCCTGTTATAACTACATCTACCATAAATAACCCTGGCTATTTTACAAGATACAAGATTTTTCAAATAATATATGTTTTTAAAAAATGTTTTAGCTCGGATTAAGTGCGGTCCGTTTTCAAACATGAATATAAAAATTGCGTTTTCAAGCCTGGAAAGATAACGTGTTTCAAAACAATTTATTAAAATCTATTGTTTGATATTTCTTTCCTACTTTAAAAAAGGTTTGTAAGCATCTCAATCTTAACATTGGTTTGTTTAATTTTGAAACAAAATACACTAGGCACGTGATGTTAAAAACATAAATAATAATCCTTAAAAACTCGTCAAAACTTTGAATAAGACTAATCTATGTGGGTAAAATATATTAAAATGATAAAGGTCAACATACATAATACCACGTGAACCAATGTAATCCTAATTACATGATGCAATTTAAATATTCAAAAAAAGAATAATGTTAAAACTAGAGAAAAAATTCATTAATGATTACACATTTCTTTTCTATTTTTCGAAACTATTCTAAATCATAGTGTTTTTTAAATAACAATATCGTGTGTATAAGAAATAATTTGACGTGTGTTTAATTTAAGTAGTCTTATTAAGTTAGTTTAATTTGCTCTCGCCTTAAAATTCATATTTCCTGTACTTCTTTACTTTCTTCTTTTTTATTTAAAGATTACTAGAGTTTGAAATGTCATATTGTTTTGGATTGATAAGATAGCATATAATTATGCATATGTAATATGACGTTCTTTACAATTTGACACTCGAGATGAATATACCCCAAAAATATTTTATATTAGTAATATGAAAATTAATATATATACCAAACCAAAGAGAAAGATATACCATAGATTCTTGCATTTGCATTTGCACTTTGATCGTATTTACAAACAAATAGTTAACTAAAATAGAGAAAAATTTCCTTGTAATTTATTACATTATTATTTTTTTTTTTTACAGAAGATTAACCTTTACGTTCCCTTTTTTTACAGTCATCTGGGAAACTCGAAAAAGCAGAAATCTTAGAAATGACAGTCGATTATTTGCGTGCAATTCAAGCAACAGAAATTGGTCTACGCTTCGAAAATAGTGAGTATTCAAAATGGCGGGCATCTGTCAGATTACGTGCTGCAATCACATGTAACTTATGTCACGGCATGTGCCGTTCACGTGCCAATTATTATCGCGGGATATGGCAAACATGGTTCTTAATGGACAATGTGATGTTTGAAACGAGATAAAATCGATCTTTTTTTAAGTTATTTTCCTCGCCCGTATTCTAAGTGCCGATTTTCACAGCTGAAAAACGAAATTCTACAAATTATTAGATAAAACAAAGAGGTTCTTTTGTTTTATAGGTGAATGGTTTTCTTCGGACATTTGGGCTGATTTCATGCATCATTACCAAGTGGGGTACAACGACTGCATTCGAGAGATTCAACGCTTTATGACAGACGTTGAAGGGTTAAATGCAACGGATGACAGATGTGTTCGTTTGGTATCCTACCTTCAGACACGTTTCCGGCCGGAGTCGTCAGTAGCTGGTGGAGCAGCTTACAGAGACTTGTTGCAACGTCTGATGACTACAACACAGTCCAGGCGCAGTATGTACTTGGGCAACTCTACCCCATCAACGGGATTTACATCATTCTTTTCTGCGGGGACAAGACGATTTTCACCATATATTTACCCAAAAACTGTATGCCCTGCTTCTTCCCAAGAAAGTCAAACGCCAGGAGCATTTCCTTTGCATGTTGCATACTCACCAAATAAGGCAGTGTGTGCTCGAACTGATAATTTTAACCTGCATAAAAATCCACTAAATATATAAACTATACAAAAACCTTTTAAAACATGTAACATCTCGAATGTGACATCTCTTGGAGGAATAATTACTTCTTGAAATTTAATTACATCCTTTCCATGAGCTCTTTGTTGAAATTTCAGCGGGTAAACGTACTATTCTGTTAGTCAATATAAAAATAAGAGCAAAACAATTTTTTTAATTAAAAAAAACTCGGTCAATATTCGATTAAACTGCAGTTCGTTTTGGCAAACAAGCTTTTTTAAGGTCTTATATAATAACGAAAAAAATATTAGCAAATATTGGCGAAATATCTGTTGCTACCATTGTAACATCATTTCATTTGTCAGTAGCTTGTCTTGGTTTAGAAATTTATAAGTTAAGATTTTCGATTTTATACTTTATTTGGGAATAAGTTATTGGCTCATGATTTCAAAAACCATTACTTGATATGTTTCGCATGCATCATATACACTATATGTTTTGCTTTCCCGATACTTTCTTTATAAATGCTTTCATTTTTCAGAAGGCATACATGTACATTTGCCAATTAAACGATATAACTTATATAATTTATTGTATATTGTCTTTTTTTACTTGCATATTGCTCAAGGAAGAATTATACTCTAAACACTGATCTAAATTTAATTTGACTTAGTAGATGAACCTTTTTTAAAGGTGCTTGGACACAGATTTGAAGTTAGCTCTTTCTCAAGTTTTTGGTATAATATAATGACTTATATGTTGCTATAGCATCACACAAGGAAATATACTAAATAACTTACTTAATCTGGAAATTATTGAAACTAAGAATTTCGGGACGCGTTTGATTGATACGAGGGCTGTTCAATGAATAATGTCCTGAACTCTGTGACATACAACATAGAAATCATATGACATTAAACTTGACTTTCTCTCATGACTGAATTTTTAATGAATTGATAACAGTTTATTTGACAACTTTACATCACATACTTTCATTGTGAGAGCCTAGAAACAAGGACTATTCGAGACACTGCATTAAAAATGAAAGGTAGGGAATCAGTAAGGTAGAGTGAAATTAAATGCTTCATTTAAGCTGCTGTAAAACTTGTTGAGAATCCAAAAGAAATATTCACTTGAAATATGTGAAATTTACAGCAATCAATCTTTGTTTTATAAACACCTGAGCAGGTGGATTTCAATGAACAAAAATTATATAATGGGCATCAAAAATGGGTACCTCTTTGGCGAAAAGGACTTACAACAGCCAAATTTCAACAAATTACTACTGATGATGTTTGATTGACTTTATAACAAATAGCAAATTTGATATGCATCATTTTGGGAGTAGTTCACATTGTCTTAAAGAAACATTTGACAGTTAAAAAAAAGCTTGGTACTCAATGGTCACCCTACCTTTTGAAAAATGAGTGAAAACTTCAGCGTGTAAGAAAATATAAACAATTATTTTTAAAAATCAGAAATTGTGTAGTTTTCCACCTTTGTCTGAAATTCAAACAGATAACGAAACTCGAATCTATTGCTTTAAATCCCCAAAACAAATTAACAATAAGATGCACTTGACAAAAACAGCAATGGACTGGGAAGAGCAAAGAATTGCAAGAGCACAAAGACAGTTTTACATGCCATTTTCTTAAATATTAGTGGTTTTGTTGTTCAAATTCTTATTTTGGGAGACAGTTCATTTTCTGGAGGAGTCTAGAAAGCAAATTTTTTTTGCCAAAAATTGAAAGGTTTATGAAAGGAAGGACCCAGAATCAGGAATCCACTACATTAGATTTCTTCATGACAGCGTCCAAAACCACACACCCTGAAGAGAAGGACTTTGGGGGATAAACAGAAGGTTAAGGTTTTGTCAAACCAACAAAATTCGCCAGATCTTTCACCCTTTGACTTGTTTCATTTTTCACATTATAAAAAATCACCTGTCAGAAAGAAGAAACAAGTCCAGGAAATCATACGATCTGCCATATTCCAGTATACGAAGGGCCATACCCAAAAATGTGCTCTAAAAACAATAAGAAATTGAATAAAAATGTTTCGGGCATATGTTTTAATTAAGGGAGAATATTTAAGTGAAATCATTAAGAGTAAATCATTGAAAAGCGTTTTTAGTTTCTTTCCGAGCACCGAGGACATTATTTATTGAACAGCCCTCGTACATCCTTGCACTTTCAGAAAGCAAACTTTAAACTCAATAATTAAAAAACCCACATACATCATTGAGCTCGTGCTGACAATACATTTGAATTGCTTTTGCTTTCTTACATTTTTATTCTGAATTTTCTGGATTATAGTTTGAATACATAGGTTGAATAGTTTCATTAATACACAACAAAATCTTTACTTTTCTTAAAAGTACTAAGGATAAAATTTACTTTGTGAAAGTGCAAGGATGAATATCAATCAAACGCGTTGTCAAATTCGTAGTTCCAACAATTTCCAGATAAAGTAACTTTTTTTATATTTCCGTGTGAAATGCTATTTAGCAAAATATACGTACTTCATAATATTATACCGAAAACTAATATATTAACTTCAAAACTGTGTCCAAGTCCCTTTAAAACTTGTGAATATGAAGATTGCTCAAAACTGTGAGATAACAAACCAACACATCATTCCCTGATATTTGTGATGGATGATTCGGTTACCTCGTCACTGTATCTTCTGACTGATCTAAGACAACCTGTTGTCTCCAGGCCGATAAAGACGAGAAACAGTAACATGTGTTGTGAAGCCTGCATATAGCCCTGCTTTACCTAGATGATCCATATGAGCCTCAAGACGCTACGACCTTCGACAATTAGCGTGATATGTCAATGCACCATCTTGAAATTTTGAATCATGCTTAATGTGATCAATTGTAGAAGATAATGTAAGTGTCTATTATCTAGTCAATGATGAAGGAGGTTGATGAATAGGGATGCCAGGGGAATTATATAATCAAATATCTTATCCTCAAAAGGAAGGGAAATTCGTTTAAAGATAAACGTGTCTGTTGAAATTTTATATTGAAAAAAATCCAGAACAGGAAAAATTTAATTTAAAGGAACATGGACACAGTCTCAGCTGAAAATGTTCAAGTTTATTTTTCAATTTTTTATGTTTACAAATACTTAATTAAGGTATTTTTATGATTATCGAAAATTTGAATTTCAGATATCGAGATGCAAGTCACATTTAGAGCTTCAAGCCTTTGTTGTTTAAACAAGGCCCGTGCCATGCTTTTGTTTATACATAGGTTAAATATACAAATATATGTTTGATCAAAGCAGATTTTTTCAATAAAGAAGTTAATGCTAAAAAAGATCAGACAGTTTTATAAGATTTGCTGAATCCCGTTTTAATTGTTATAAATATATTTTCTATTTGTAAATAAAAACAAGGTACGAGCCTTTTTTACATGATGAAGAATTTAAAATTCTGTATCTCCTTTGAAAATAAATAAATGATGTTAAAATGAAAACCTTCATTTGAATATTTAAGAAAAACATAAATCTAATGGAGATGCTAAAAATCAAAGGAAAACGTTTCTGTTTTCGAGAGAACCTTCTTGACAGCATTGGACCAAACCGTGTTGAAAACTATTTGATGCTCCCCTTTCCATCCACCCCTTCAAAACAAATGTAGATTTTAAAAGCGACTTGTAATGTTAATAACATTACCGATGAGAAAAAAATAACACTACCGATGAGTAAAATATTTTTTCTGCTTTTTTTTAAAGGTCTAATGACCATTCTCTATAACCATTTAGAAGTTTTTGTCCGCGCATTATCGCTGATTTTGATGAAACTTTAACCATTATTACTACTTGACATCAAACACATGTATTTCAAATTAAATTTTGTTGCTTTGTTGTCTCGGTCGAAAGGTCAAAGTTGTTAGTATCCAAAGGAAAGTCTTGTCACAAGGAATGCATCAGTGAAATACTACGAAAGCCAAAGCGCCTGCTCATCCAAAGTGATGACCAATGTTAACGTTTTTAAAAAGTGGGTAAAACTCAAAATCAAGAGGTCAAATTTGGAGGTACCCAAAGAAAGGTATACACCTGTAAATTATGAAAGCCTTAGCCCCACCCAATCAAAAGTGAAGGGTAAGGTTAAGTTTTTTCGGGCAAACAGGCAGACAGACTGACAGGGAAAAATTGATATATCCGCGAATCTTAGATTACAGGGGCATAAAAACAAAGGTCATTAATAATTGGTATGAAAATAACTTAATAAAACTTCGTCGACATATCTCAAAGTAGAAATTTAAGATTTTGAAACCGTAAATTTATTGAAGGAAAATATTAGACCAAACGACATCCACAGAATGACGATTGATGTAGATTTGCATAGCTGACGATGTCTCCTATGGGACTAAATGTGGAGTGTGTCCTAATGTAGACCACATCTCCCTGGCTGATTTCCACCACGACAGTACCACTGGAGCTATGGTCCTCATTCACGGTATAACCACTTGACAGTCTAGTGCCCTTGCTTGCAGAGTTGACCATTAGTTCCGACATGACTTTATCATGAAATGAACTGTAAAGGTTCCAAATGAAAACATAGACTCCGTTTGTTGGAGTCGTGAATATACCGTCATGATGATTATAGAAGGAGCCTACGTTGGTGATGACTGTGTCAAATATCACCGTATGGTGCACACCAGGAGATTTCTCAAATTTGCTCAGGTATGCATAAAATGCTACCTTATGTGCTAAAATTAGAAAAGAAAAATGTACGTGTATTTAATGCATTTGTTTTTATTATACTTTCATGTTAAATACTAAAATTTGATTGGTTTAGACGCAGTTAACAATCCGTTCGATTACCCTGAGCCTTAGCAACACACGTGACAACGGGTAACACAACGGTAATGCCACATGCGTGTAAATTTGAAAAATTCACTGAAACAATGCAACTCAGAGCAGAGAAAACAGTGACCTCTAAAAACATCAGAGCTGGGATCAGGTGCCATAAAGGAATATGAAGATCTGTATATTTACATATGGTAGTGGTGAATCAAAGGAGACATGCTGTATAATTGGTTTATTATAAGACAGATGTCAGTGACTACATTTAGGCATCTAATGTTATAAAGCCCTGGCAGCACAATTACATTGCTAACATTGTCGGAGAGGTTGTCTTAATGTGTCTTTTTTAATCCAGTAATTTCTCAATGTCTCTAGAGGATATACTCACTGATTGGCAATATTGAAATGATGGTAAATCTTTTTATAGAATTCTAACTTTCATTGACAAAAATACAAAATGATATGATTCAGAAAACTTCTTGTTTAGAATAATATCCGTTAGTTCAAGAGCCATCCACAAAATGACGATTGGTATAAATCTGGATAGCTATTAATGCTTCCTGAAAGAGACCACGTCCGGTTTGTCCTAACATAGACGATATCACCTTGACTTATTTCCACCACCAAAGTTCCGCTGGAGCAGTAGTCCTCATTCACATCTCGACTATCTATAAGCCTTCCACCCTTGCTGATGGAATTTGCCATCAGTTCCGACGAAATACTTCCGTGAAACTGTCTGTATATCTTCCAACTGAACACATAAATGCTATTTGTTGGAGCTGTAAATACTCCATCATGGTGATTATACGAGGATCCAATTTTGGTTATAATAGTATCAAATATAATTAGGTGTTTGCCAGGATTTGGCTAAACTGAGCTCATATAAGCATAAAATGCTACTTCGTGCGCTGAAAGGAAAATTAATTGACAACCGAGATTATAAAATTGAAAAGTAAAAAAAATTGCTACATACGCAGCTGTTTTTTAAGCAGTCGGTCATTACTTTGGGGGAAAGTAAAACCGGTGAGAATTCTCTTCCTTTGACTTTTATGAACATCACTTGAATTTGAGTAATCACTATAGGCTTTAAGAGTTTGATATATTGCAGTCTGTTTAGTCTTTTCTGTCGAATTCTTGCGATAGTCTCCATTCGGTATTGAGTCAATTTCAACATTTTCAGCCACCGTTTTAAAATTCAAGTCTGAGATAATCTTTTTCATTCGGTCTATTCTTTTCTCCAATTTACTTTGTCTAGAGTCCGATCTTCTTATCTTTGCTTCCAGATTCGATATTTTGGTTGTAAGTTCTTTGCGGTCTTTCTTCGCCATTGCTTCTAAAGTAGAAATTTTATGGTCTTGCTCGTTTATTTTTCTCAATAGTTCTTGGAGGGTTAAGTCGGAAACACCTTCATCCGTTGTTTCTGAATACGATATTTCGACCAGTAAGAAAACACAACAGAAACAACCAATAAACACTGAATAAAACATATTGTTGAATGTTAGGTGGACAACCAAAATGCTAGATCTTACCTGCCTGATAAGAATCTTATATGCAGCGCAGTAAAGATAAGCCATAAACAAGGAGTGTTAGACATTACATTTTCAAATCTTTGAAAAGAGGCAACTTACTTCCATTTACAAAACCATTCTTGTATATTTTTCAAAAATCAAAATAATTTAATTGTTCCGTAATCTTTCTATGGAAGTTCGAGAAGGAGATCGAGATGGTCTAACGAATAGACATACATTTAGAAGTGATAGGAAGTATACAGAACCGAGTCGATTGTAACAACTTTCCAACAATTAAATTTGGTTCGTGTTTTTAAACGAGAGATAACTAACTCGTTACGGCGAGATTGTTTTCTAGTTATAACAAGATACTTGTTATTACAAAATTACTTATTCGTTATAACGATATAATTATTTCGTTAAAGAGATAACTAACTCGTTATAACGAGATAAGTACTTGTTATTACGAGATACTAATTAATACGTTATTACGAGATACCTAATTCGTTATAATGAGATAAGAACTGCGAACGATAGTATTGTTCTACCGCCTACCTCCAAGTCAATTTTCAAATATTCGAATGATTTTTAATAATTGTATTTATATGGATTTTCATAAAACATTACTTATTTGGGAAAACTAAAAGATAACTATAAAATTTTGGTAAAACTTGTGTTTTTCACTATGGAAATCAATGGAAAACGGAAAATATTTTTAAAACATCTTCCCCCCCTCCCCCATGTCACAAAAATTCCTTATTACAGGTAATATGGAATGGTATTTCACAAATTCATACCAAAGCTTTTTGTGTGACACGGGAGGGGGGAGGGGGGGACATATGTTTATTGACAAAAAACGATAAAAATGCTTATTTTCTACCAATTTCAAAGCGATTTACAACTGAATCATTATATTTTATTGAATTATTTATGTTTTATTTATTTGCCTAAAACATAAGAAAAGATATAAGGAACATATAATCATATCCAAGACTATTTCAAAATACGGTGATGCTTGAAACTCCGATTTCAATGGAAAATATCGTCTACCCCCCTTTTTTCAAGAGATGGATTAATGGATAATTTACTGTTAAGCGCTGGTATTAGGACGATTTATCAATTACCATTGAACTGTTCTTTGTATCAAACAAAGATGTTATGGCCAAATTGCTATTCATATTGAATTAATTGGTTCCAAAATGTAGGCGGGAATCGAGAGTTAGCGTGCGTGTTTCTTTTTTTGTTTATAACGAAATAATTAACTGGTTATAACGCGATTGCTAAACTCGTTATAACGAGATACTAACTCGTTAGACAAGATACTGACTCGATATATATGTACATAGATAACTATATAACTCGTTATAACGAGTGAATTTTTTTATCGTGGCAAAAATTACTCTTTCTGTTTTCTTTTGTTCCCGAATCTAACTCTCTTTGAAGAAAAAATCAAAGTAAGTAAATTTTCATCGTGAGTTGTAACAATGTTTCAGTATTTATATTAAAAAAGGCATCAATTAAATTTACGCAGGATTTCATAAGAAAAAACCTTATAAGTCATCGTCTCGAGAACAGAAATGCCATGATGCTTTTCAAAAGCAAGTATGAATGAAACATACATGTATTTAGCTAACGAATAGTATTCAAAATCAAAAGTCCATAAAACAATACGAAATAGGAGCAGAGCAAACACGGACCTCCAAAACATCAGAGGTTGGATCAGTTGTCATGGAGGAGTGAGCATCCCCTGCCGACCGGTCACGAGACTTGCGCTCCTTGTCATGATCGGGAAATAACAGAAAATTCCGTTGTCAATCCAGTGTATAAATAATGAACTAACAATAAGTATGAAAAACGTCAGTGATCATCTGACTCAATGAAAAATTGTATTCGCTGACAAGGTTATTGTATCTACCATAGAACTTTCGAAATGATGACTTTAAACGAGACTGCTGATATTCTTGCTTCATCAACTTGTTTATCAGTAATTTACCTCGTTTTAGAAATTGTTCATACGTAGAGCTTGCTCATGCGTGTCGAATCATCTGAGATATATAAACTCTGTATGCAGGTGATGAAGGTATATTGCTGCATATGTAAGAGAAGTTGACTATCGAAAACTTAAAGTCATCATGTTTATCAAAGAGCTTGTTAATGTTAAATTATCATTAATGTCTTTATCAAGTAAAATGTGGTATCTTTTATCTCAAGCTCACCGGGATATATCGCACCGAAAAAGAATGGAAATTACCATTATTTATTGACAATACGTTGTCAATATTTCTAAATGTCGAGTTGAAGGCCACAGCAAATGTTTCTTCTTTTCACGTTCTAGATTTTGGACAAATTCTGTTTCATATGAATACATCTTTTAAAGTAAGTATTGATTTAAGTAAGTTTATTCAAATCGTGCCCCCGGGAGTAGGATGGGTAAACAACAGGCGATGTAAGTTTTATTTCGTCAAAAATTTATAGGAAAAATTCTTCATTTTATTTTCAAGTAGATAAGTGTCGTTGCACGATAGGTTGTTACTTCAAATCTATTACTTAGTATATATTTAAAGAAGATGGGCGTGTTTGGCGTGTGGTCTACAGGAATCATTTTTTTACGATTGGAATGAGACATACTTAGATAACGGAACATTTTTAAAATGGTTTTTGCCCATGATTTGGTTGGCTGACCATAGCTGGTCATATTTTACAAACACCGCTACAGGACTTTTTAGACGGTGGCTATATATAGCCACAGGCTATTGCTGCTGGTCTGGGCTTATGAATAAACAACATGTAAACACACGGGGATCCTAGCGGCGATTCTTGCAGAGTCGAAATAATGAAAGTAGAATTGTTTCGATGATTGAAAATGAAATGTACATAGTTCAAAAATATTTTGAAGTTATTTCAAAGACATTTCGTTGATGGAAACAAAGCCTAATTCCTGATATTTGCCATCATTAATATTTCTCGCCTCATGAATATTCATTGAAATACGCCGAACTACAACTAACTCGTACACCAACCGACTCGCATATTCGTATGCAAAGTACACAAGTCAATTCGTACATAATTTTTTCGTTTTTTCTCACATGTGCAAAAAGTAATTTCGTACACATTTGTGTTAGTTTAGAATTATAATTATTGTCAGAATATTTGATGAAATTTTTTTTATTTGTAGATAATTGTTTCACTTTCTAACTCCGAGATCAAATAATTATAATTGCCAAACAAAACACTCGCGGCTGTTTCTTAAACTTAATACTTTTTTGTGAATTTTCATATAATAAAACTCAAGTAGTTTAATGTTTGAATTAATTTCTAATATCTGTTTACGATGCTATATTAGGAAAATGAATACATGTACGTGTACGCATTTTAAGAAAGAAGAAAAAAAGATCACGACATCTTAATCAGTTAATAAAAGGGTTGTTTGGGGTATATACTATGCCATAAAATTTGTCATTTATTATTACCATTCTATATCTAAAAAAAAATTCATTCCCATTTAGAAACTCTATCGTGCCTCTAATAAAATTTACCCTTTAAAGGTGTACAAAAGGGTCCTTAAATACATGTGCATTTTACGATTTTATTCGGCTGAATTTAGGTCAGTTTTCTGCGTGTGTTCACTAAGCTATGTATTGCACATGCAATGGCTTGATAATGAATTAATAAATTAATTAATGATTAATGACGTATTAATTATATTAACATTACGTATGAGAAATAGTTTCATCGCAAACCACGACCAAAATGTACGTTCCTCTCCCATTCTGGAGAGAGCTACATATATGTAAAACTCCGACCATGACTTGAGACGACAGAAAAATAGAGGCAGAAAAATATTTTGTTATTTCGTTTTTCTTTCTCTCTTTTTTTTTCGAGCAGTATACGAGGGTTGTCCGTTAAAATCGTGGACAAAGCGTTTTTCTCGAAAAATAATGGGCGCCGTGAGATGAAATTTTTAGCAAGTATTTTTTTTTTCATATTTAACTTATCTGAATTCTCTTAATAGAATATAGACAAAAAATAATATTTCATTAACATGCTTTAATGTACATACACACGATAAAAAAAACCATTAAAAAAATAATACATGAGTATTATTTCGAAATAAGAGAATCAAAAAGATTTTGGTAATCATTATCCTATTTTTATTCACTATCTATTGTGTCGTCTATTGGAAAATGTCAGGGCATTTGCTTAATTTTGGTAAACACAACACACGAAAAATGGCGACGTTCGATTACGTTTCTACGCCCTGGAAAGCAGTTCAGTTTTTTCATCTTTAGTGTACAAAGGGAAATGGGAGTTTTCTTAGCGAAATCACTTTTTTATTCAAATTCACGGGTATAGCAAACAGCTATAGGAATAGCGAAAGACGCTGTCAATGTTGACAGCCAATTACTAGTAATAAGCCTGTTTAGTTGAATGATACTAAAAATATTTTCCATAACTTTAATACAAATAAATCTTCACAAGGTTCCATTTGTGCGCGAGATCGGTTCCTTACTGTTATTTAAAGAATTAAGGGAAACTCAACTATGTGCATCAGTGAAATTCCTTAATTTAAGTGGGAGATATCTAATTTGTTTTTAGCAAAGAGGAAACGTGACGCTGCTTTAGACACTTTGACATTATCAGCCGTGGGCCATAAGGCGACACAATACATTATATAAAATCTTACAATTTGTTTATTTATCCATAACACTTTATTTTTTAGTACAAAAATATAAATTTATAAATAAAAATACATGACTGTGCATGTTTTTGAAAAATGACATAAACTTTCATAATTTCTATATCATTTTACAAATTCTTTACAACATTTTATCTTATTCATTGGCGTCGGAAGCAAATTGAAAATGGGGGGGGGGGGGGGGGCTATGTGTAAAAAAAAAAAATTGTACCTTCAAAAAAACCTGACAATCAAATAAAAAAGGGTCCTTTTCCCAAACATGGAAATCCTAATTCGTTGGGGGGGGGGGGGGGTCGAACTTCAGTACCAAAAAAA